GTCCAGAGAGGAGATCGCACTCTACTTGGTATGCTTTGCAAACTTGTTGCATGATCGTGATGATGAGGGGACGGAGATACCGAATGGATACCCATCAACGTGGCAGGACTACGGTGAGCCAGAGACATGACAAAGACTTGGAAAAAGTAAATCCAACTTTTAAGTGATCTCGACCGACTGGGATGCGGCGTTTTCGAGCTGTCGCTTTGTCTTGGTCATTCCTGACTCGCCAACTCCCAGATTCACATAGTACCTGTGCTCGCGTGGGGGATGATACGATGCCTATACGATCGTTTGGGGCCTATGTAGCAAGGCAAGATCTTGTAAACCATGGCGAGAGGAACTCGACATCGCATTGTCAAATTACTGCTCAATAATAATTCCGCCTACGCGACTCGTAAAGTTCATTAGATTTTTAGAAGCGACTCCTTGCATTGTTACTACTTATACCTCGAAACACGACGACTTTCTTGTATCCAAATATCGAAGATGTATGTAGAAAGAATCTAGTAGGATGTTAAGAATCTTCTCAAATACGATTTTCTTGTCGTAACACAATGAGCATGAAACTTCGTAGACATGTAAGGACGGACTCACTCTTTGCCGTTTCGTTGATAATTGCCGTCCTCGCCTGCAACTCAACAACACCACAGTGACCGCCCCGAAAAGCAGAGTATAGTTCCGATGCGATTCTATCGCTGTCAATTCCACAAATACTCATCAATCAGCCTGCATGCACTGTTCGTATTGCATTCCTGGTCACCTTGTACTGGCTACGACTGGGGGCTCGCCACTAATGACATCGGATGCGATTACTCGAGTTTAATGATGTTCCTGCTCTATCTGAATGATGCGTCTGCCCGACCAAGGTCAATAAGCACTACCAAATCCACTTGCACACTCGCGCCTTCGATGTTCTGAGGTATGGCACTTCCAACCATAGTCGTGAAGGTTGCCAAGTGCTGCGCACTGCCGAACGTCATCTGTCACCCAACCAAAATGTCAAGATTCGCGAAACACTAGATCCTAGAAGCTACGAAGGGAACAGTCCTTCTCTTTGTCAACATTTCCAGTTTTTTGCCCACGTAAAAGGAAGGACAGTCCGAGCGCAGAGCCGCGCTCACTACTCCGGAGCTGTCCCCTTAATCTGCATTTGACAGTGATGATTGTGCTACATCTATTGCACACCATAATATAGCTATGGCACACAGTAATACATATCATCTTGGATCAGACTTTGACACAAGATCATGCTCGCTGAAATATGATGCCGGCATTGGTGTCAGCGAAATGGCTTGCATAGATGTTTGAGAGAAAGCACAACGCTCCAAAGGCATCAAGTGGCAAGAAGAGGTCACGAAGATGGAAAGTTGCTCCTTACCACAATTAAATTAGCCAGGGCAGGCCATGATGAATGGTATTATTCATAGCAGCAACTTCTCTTTCAAGAAATGCCATGATCTTATGTCTGTTGGTAGTAGTTGCAGTATCGAGATCACTTGGGTCCATATTCTCGTTCTTCCATCAGTGATCATGATTCCATCGTTCCCCCCAAATACCAACCTTCTAATCATCCTTCTGTACTTTTACCATCAGAAACTCATCTACATGGCCCTTTCAAGGAGATTCGGAAGCCTCTCACAAGATTGAACCCCATTCCACCACTCGTCCACAGTGTTATTATGCTGATAACTACCACCATTCTGCAATCATTCTCAGAATCCATTCGAGCATCTCAACCACTTCTACTATCTCCAACAATATACTTCAATACCACTTGGCTATCTCGAGCGCATCAACTCAAACACAAGACTCTCTTCAGATCTCAGACTATGCTTCCTGGCCCAACAACACCCTTTCGAATGATTTGATACCCAAGGCTTTCAAGGCCAATCATCATGGATCTTGTCTTGTTTGAGCCACAACCAGGTGGGTAATGATTGAATAAAATTGCAACTGAGAGGACAATGAAGAGAATTCTGAGTCCCCAATGAGGAAAAGCAAAAACTTGTTACGATCAGATAGCACCTCCAAGACGTTAGCTTAGGCTAACGCACCACTTTTTATCCAGGCCCGTCCTTGAAGTCGCCTCAGGTTCGATTGCGTGGTCGTTGATGCCTGATCAAACGTTTCAAACGTGACAAGCAGAAGACACTGCTACAACTCATCATTGGCGACTTGCGGTACAAGGACCGATGAGCTATACTCTGTTACCATCGTCCTCTTCGACTGCCAGCGGGTCAATGCTTGAGGAATATGTGGTAACATCGTCAGCAGGATCATGGTTCTCGGTCTGACTGCAAGAGAGGTGTGCAGGGAGCACTGGGCTGCCGTAAACTACAGGAATGAGTTGGACCTTTGCGACACTACCTGGGGTTAGTGTTATTCCAATATAAATTGAGACAGTTTCACGAATGCCATCATTCTCCTCGGTGTGAACCTCATTAATCTCCGCGTCTCATCGATATGAAAAGCATGCCAAAACAGCCACAACGGTCGTAGACGTGGTGACAGAGAAGCCCTTTCAGAGCAATCCCATACGGTTGAAGACTTCCAGTAAGCTGTCGCCATTTGAGGCAATGTCTCTCCTTTGGAGATGTCTTCTGACCAATGAGTTACCCTAACGAAGCAGGCAAGCAACTTGATGACGCAAAAGTTTGACCGTGCTTGAGCTCCTTCAGGCCAGACTATTTTTTTCTCAACAAGAGCGGCAAAAGTCACGTCGGTGGCTGTGACAAGCTCAAATCATCTCCATCATGTTAACAATGCAGTCAACAGGAAACGCGCAGCGCCAGCTCTCGAAGAAATGCGATTCTGTTATGTGCAGCAGGGTGTGTTGGTATATGGGGACAATAATGCTAACACCCTTGAGAAATTTGTGGATGGAAAAAGTAAGTGCGCTGGCGTGGCTTCGTAGCTAAAGATTGGAAATTCGACCTAATTTGCGCATTTGCCGCTACTGTGGCTCTACGTCTTTGAGCACGTTGTATTGTTCAGACCGGGCACTGAGATATAATTTAAGCTCAGCCATTAACCCTACATTTCTAGCTAGTGACAACTGACTGAAGATGCCAGGAATCAAAGTGGCAATTTCATTGTAATATAGGCGAACCTTGACACAGGAGATTGCATGCGAATTGCTCGTGAGCATCGGCGGTAGGACTTTCTCAGGCAAAGGTACTTATACTCAACCAATACTTGGGAATATTGCACCTAGCTCGTCAAACCGCCAGAAGTTCGCGGACAACATGGTGACGTTCCTGGACGCCTGTGGTTTCGACGGTATCGACATTGACTGGTGAGGTTCGATCAGCCAATTGAATGATGGTGAACAAGACTAAGGTTAAAAAGGGAGTAGATCTGGCCTACTATGAGATCCAAGACATTTCGAATGAGAACCCCGACATCGAAGTAATCCATGACGAAGACGCCGCGCTTAAGTACTTCACACGGGGTGATGGCCCACGGATCTTTTACTACGACGCAGCCACATTCAAGCAAAAGAATAATGGGAGGACAATATCGGCTTTTCAGGCGCGCTGATTTGAGCTTCGGATCTCGGTGAGTTGAATAACAGATAATCAATGACTATTGCTCTCACAAGATCGATTATAGCTTACTGCGCACGCCGCACTGCTTAGAAAGGACATATATGAAGTCTATAACAACCTGAGAACCCAAATAATGACAAACACCCAACAAAATAACCTGGAGGTAAATACCTACCCGGCTGAAGATTGCCACAAGTCCACCACTAGTAGCCTGATTTATCCATTCACTTAGCCGTTGTCGCCCCACGACTGCATATATGAAGTAGTGGAGTCCTACACCTACCGTGCTGGCTTGTCTTTTCTTCCCGGAGACATAAACCCTGTGAAAAAAATACGTGCTTCTGGAAAGCGAACTCCGGTGCTGTATGACGAGTTTCAAACAACTATTCGAGCTGGTTTATCAAAATGGAGACATGAAAGGAGCCAACCAAACCGCCACCATTATTCATATGGTAAATATAACCCAGCCCACTGTTTCTCTTTCATATGATTATCACCACCTACCCATCACGCATCGCTGACCGCAAGACAAGATTATTAGCATTTTTAATTCAGTGAATGATGACAATCTGTAGGTCGGATTCGTTGAGGCAGGAAAGGCGCCAAGAAAATACCATATGCAGATCGGTACATACCCGAGCTGAAGAGCATAGCAGCGGTCTGGTCCGAGTGAGAGCCAGATTACTGGCACTACGCGGTCGATAGGTAGGTCAAGTCGTCTGATGATTGAGTAGGGTATGTAATGTAAATATTTCCTGACGGCGAGTCATTTGGGAACGAACCGTCGGCAAAGCTTCTATACAACGCCGCAAAGCTGTAGAAACAAGTGGGTAGATGGTCATCAACGAACTACGCATTTATTGCATCAGTATAGAGTTCTTATAACATATGATCGCATTGTGCACAACGCGGAGAACGTCATACGGATAACATTGTGCCACAACGGTTTCCTTGGCCCGCCGTAGTTTCTGTAGACAATTTCATGATTTCGACGTGTCACTGAGAACCCCCGGCCCCCGGTGCCCCCCGGGTCACTGGTAGCCAAGCCAGCGACGGTATGTACAAGGATAGGGTCTCTCGCACGGGCCGCAGCCCGTCCTACAAAAGGACGGCCCGCCCAAACTAGGCAGTCTCCTTTCCTCCTCCTTTACCGAAGCAGAAGACTCCATGGCCTCTTCTGCGATGAGACGAGGCGCGCATCCAGTTTTTACATCGCTTACAGCCCGCCGACAGATCACTGCACCTCTACTCGGTGCACAATCGGGCTTGCTAGGTCCACGATTCGGTCCGAAGTCATTCAGACAGTTCAGCAGCCACCGTAGTGATGGCAAACCCCATGATTTCCGGGTCATGTACAAACGGGGTATCAGCACCCCCCCAGGGAGCACCCCAACCACTAACTTCAACCCACCCAACGATGACGACTGGTTGGCGCGCATCACGTCCAAAATGACCTGTCCCGAATTTCGCGACAGCCGTTGGGGCTTCGTTGTAAGTGCCCACGTCTCACTTTTGATCGTCGGCTTTGGAGCACTCAACGCCGTGGATGCAGATATACCGCTGCACTGAAGGGAACGATGCCGCGTGGGGTAGAATGCTGCAAGCCATCCGCGACGGTGTGGCTGGGACGTTTGACTTCTGCCAAAGCAAGGACTTGCTACAGTACCACGACCTACATATCATAGACGACAAATCACTCTAGGTGGGTTTGCCAAGGACCTTACACTCTTGATCTACATGCTGACAATTATATACCTAGTCCGTAAATCCTTATGTTCTCCAAAGCCATTTCCAATTAACCAAGTCTTTTAGTGGGGCGACGTCGCATGAAGTCCGGGACCACTTCCTTCAGTGGGCTCCACACGAGTTAGAATCAAGACTGAAACCAGGTATACCTACTCATAAAGCATTTGGGCAGTGGGCAAGCGAGACAGCTCGCTATCGGTACTGCCTCTTCGTGGACGACATATGCTTAGAGTCGTTGGACCATGAGACTCGCAATTGCCCAGTTGTCAAGGTGCTTGAGAAGGATTGGGGTCCCCTGTCTCTAGCAGAGAGGCAGTACGAGATCCATCCTGATTTTCACGACGGCGAAACTGATGATGGCGAGGAGGAAGTCGGTTGGATGTATTTGCCTGTTTTTGACTACTTGAACTGGTACGATATACTGACCGAGGAGGATGCTTGGTGGCCCTTCTACGTCCGTCCACCATACATCGACTGGGCGGAGACGAAGGATGACCTTGTGGGCTCATGGAGAAATAAATAAGTGGGGAAATCACGATGCTTCTCCTCGACGAACCGAAAGGCACGCCCAGGAACCGACAACCGTCAGCTTCCTAGTCAACTGTTATCATCGGCTGAAAGCTTGCTCATAGCCAAACTCTTAGTGCGACTGCCGCATTGAAGATCATTCATGGACGGGTGCTCTATCAGTCAGGTATGAGTTGATCTGTATGTTGAAAGCAGTCCTCTCCTTAGGCATAGCAAGTCAGTACGGCAAATGGATTCATGGGGTACATTATTACCATGCTTCGAAAAATAGAATATCGTGGCGCGACTATTGTTGTAAGTTGAGAGCGCGCTGGCGTCAGAGTGTGGTATCAATATCGTGTTCCGCCCAAGTATAAGGGAGTGCTAGAGATGTAAGTTTGTGATGACCCTCGAATTGAGCGGCTCCATAGTCTTTTCCATTGAAATTTCCTCCTATCCCATCTCTCACTTTATCTGGACTTATATCCGCTAGAGAATATGACACCTAAGGACTATTTTCCACGTGCCAAGGCTCATTCCTCCCTTACACAGCGGTTTAGAGCCCAATCCTTTGTTAAAATTCCAAATACACGCTTCCAGTTCACTCATCCTGTATGGGAATTCACCAAAAGTGAATTCTATACACTCACCATTGTGGGTAGGCTCGACGCCGCTCTACGAGATTGCCACGATTCATTACCGGAGCTTCACATAAAGCAGGCCTTTCTAATGTGATGCCAAGTAAAGCCGGTATGATCTATCAATCAAGGCCTACAGTTCACTTCTTTCCTTCAGCCTGATCATTTTTCCGACTCTGAAAGTGTGACGGGATAGTCACAATAATAGGAGCTTCGAAACGGTATTATCCGTGATTGTATCTTCTGAAGTACTACAGGTAGAATAGATAGGTCTGAAGAACAAAAGGAACAGTAAAGCAGGAAATGGGAAGCATGGGCATTATATAACCGTGCTTTCCAGGTATCTTCAGAGTTACTCCTGTTCTGCGATTACCCCATATGAGTCCGTCACGGAAAGCTTGAAGCCTCCTGGGCACAATGTCTGGAATACACGACCGGGGTCGTACCTTGCGGCAACTTCTTTCAGCAGCCTCAAGTTCTCAGCACCATAGCTTCCAAGGGGATCCTGACTTCGATCTGCGTAGTTGAGATAGATCCAGTCCAGTAAACCCCCCTCTACGGAGCCTGCAAATTCCTTGATAGCTTTTACACCAGCTTTCACCTTGGCGTATGCGAAGTCGTTCTGATCGGCAGTCTTCACCATAGCATTCAGTTGCCAAATAAGCCCGTCGGACTTGTTGCGCTCGATGCCCATCACGTTTCCACCGATAGCCACAGAGTGTTTGGCGCAAGTCATTGGCAACGACTGAAAGAGGCATTGAGTGATGAAATCTCCTTCGGGGATGTAGGATCTCAGTTCTTCGACAAGTGTATCGTGGATCTCTGCCGCTTTGGACATGATACGGGTATCGTTCTTAATGGTCAATGTGAACCAAGTATCGCTGTTATCTAGGGTGAGCAGCGCGATCCGTTCAAATGATGTGGAAGTTGGCTTACTATAAGTTGTAAGGCAGTGCAGTTTCAAGCCCCATATCTAATATCGACTTGGACTTGGTTGTATCCATGATCTTGGGTAACTTGAACCATTCCGCGAATGCAGGAGCGTCTTTAACGCCTCGTGTCTCCACAAGTGCTCCTCCAACAATGATATCTTTCACCTAGGGATTGTAGCTAATAATTGAAATCGAGCTACTATCTGGGAATTTCGTGAGGTTTGTGGTGAAATTGGCTGTAGCCCTGATCACGTCTGCCGAGTATTGTTTGGACACCGTCATACCGCCTCCCCAAATATTTTGGCAAGAAATCGTGTTCATAGTGAAGCTCACAACGATGCCAAAATTGTTGGAACCGCCCTTGAGAGCACGGAAAAGATCAGCGTTTAATCCCTGCTTAGCCGTGATAATCTGGCCATCCGCCAATACGATGTCATAAGACACAACATTGTCGCACCCGAACCCTTTCTGTGCGGTGAACCAGGTATTCCCGCCTCCTAGAAGGAAACCTGCAACACCAGTTTCGCCTTCCCTGCCACCAGCGACGACACGCTCGTGTTTTTGGAGTTCGTGATAGATGTGCTTCCAACGAACACCGGGACCAAAAGTCACCAGCTTGGACTCAGCGTCATACTGGATGCTGTTCAGTTGACTTAGATCAATTGCCACGCCGTTCTGAATGTTATTCGCCGCGCTCAATGGGGCGTGTCCACCGCTGCGAATGGCAAATTTTTCTTTGGCAGCGACCAGTGCTTTGACAGCTCGGGAGATCTGTTCGGTTGACTCCGGAATAAAGACACAAGCCGGTGCGAGCTTTGCTGTGTTGGAGAAATAGGAGCCTATGCTTGTCTGATATTCAAGGTCTCCGGGAAGAAATACGCATGTTTTCAGTCCAGCTCTCACTAGGCAAGCAGCCTGGGCACTCTGCTCATGCTTGCATTTACTCTCCATCGCAGAGTTATCTGTCGCGTTGGTCATGAAAATTCAGATGCGTTTTTAAGACAACCAAACAAGGAAATGGCGTTGGCCCTGGTATCTTCGCTCTGAAAGCCTTGTTAGAATGAGGGGCAGTTGGCGTCACTGTTGGTGGAATCAATGTTGGAACTTGGAAAGCAAATGTAAGCGTGGATCCATACCTCCGCGATCCTTACCCTGCTGTTGCTGCGGCTGAGAAACGTTGTGAGAATCTATGATAGGCCAGGGATACTTTTCTGGGTCACATATCACATAAGGAAGGTCCGAAGGCTCTACTGCGTACGACAGACCAACAATCACGTTAAGCATTAGTCTCGATGTGACCACACAAGGATATTGATCCCTTACCTGGAGGTAGGCGCGGGTATTCACGGAGAGGTTTGATTGGCCAAACATTGCCGAACAAACATACTATTAATTAAGTTCAATTAGAACTTAGAATATAACATATCATGTACTTGTATATTTAGAAGTTTATCAACTATAATGGAAATTCATTCAGAAAGCGCTAAAACAAATGCGGCCGGACTAAAGATTCTTGATGGGAGCGGGAAGCCGAAAACAAACCCATCTTAACCACATCTAGTCCCATGATTTTGTTCAGCCCAATTTGTACCAACCTCCCGATGCTCCTTGAAAGTGAGTGTATCATTAATTCAATTGTTCCTATTTCCGGGTTGTTTGCACTGACGGCATGTGCGAAGTACCAAGCACGATGTAACACCAAGTGAAATCTGTGATCGAGCAATCAAGGTTGAAAATATATGCTTGTGACTTCCTGCTCCTCGTACTTTGTAATCACTCTATCCCTGTCCATGCCCATTTCGGTGATGATACCTGGTTGGCTTACATGCTGTCACCCGCATCCTCTGCAAGAACGGAGTATCTCAAAGGCGACGGTCCGTGTCTCAAACCGACATTTTGCCGACTTATAGACATCGACTGCCGAGGGAGTCTTTGTCTGGCTGGGTAGGGGTATGTAAACTGTAGCCGATACGCCCGGGGAGGTCGTTGTAGGAAAGTAGTCCGCGGCCGTGGCCGCGGAGAGGGAGGCGGCATCAACCCCGGAGTTGGCACCAGTGGCACCAAAGGGTCGAACTCCGGCGTAGGGCCGGGGTTGATCGGCTGCTGTTCCCAGGGAACTTGGTCGGTCACACCTTGGTAGTCTTGTATTCTGTGATAAAGTCGCGATGTTTCATCTCCGTCTAGGATAAGTGTCAGCGATTGTTGAAATTGGAGAGGCTTCTGAGATACCCATGCTGGTAGCCACAACCCCTTTGCCTTGCCTGAGGGGAGGAAGAACTAGGCTGGCGTAGTCGACGTCACCTCCGTCTACCTGCTCTTCCTCTTCCTCCTCGTCGTGGTTAGTATTTATTGTAGCTTCTGCGCCAAATAGCAAGGTCGACAATAAGCTCAAAGCAGATTGTGACGGTCGCAGATGATGGCCCATGCAATTTGGAAAGTGTGAATGTGCGCCCTCTCCTATGATTCGGTGTGTCAGGGCTCGCCGCCCTTCAGCAAGAGTCGCTTGCACACTGGAAATGGCGTGAAAGCTCATCTTAGTTGAAGGGTCTTTTCTATTCAGGCAAGTTGCAGATGTTGAAGCGTTTTCCCGCTTCAAGAAACAGACCACGACCTTGGCACGAACACAATGTCTCGGCGTCCACAACCGTAAGATGAACCTCTGTGTCAATCACAGCGCATTGAAAAAATTTCAGGACCCGATTGCAAGAAGGGGAAATGATTCTCAGAGCTTGGGGACCAAGTGACTGAGTTACTTTGACCTAGACAATGAAGCCAGAAACATGGTGGCATGGACAAGTCCTCAAACCTGGGTTGGGAGGATTTAGGTTGAATTCACTGCAACTCATCCGATCTTGGGTTGCTTCTCAGAAACAGCACGCCTACACAATGGTCTGGCCCTGCTTAGATGTCAGTATCTCTTCATCATTTGCCAGTGACTCTATCGGGAAAACAGTCAGTAAATGAATATACGGTCTATTGTTGCAGTCTAAGGGCTATTTGATCAACCTGCTTCCACAGAGGGCGGTGACTGCAACCAATGATGGACTGGCTACAACCCCCTACTTCGTCCTAACCAAACCGTGACTCACAGTCTGCAACTCAACTGATCACTCATCACCCTCCTGCGTCAGGTCCGTGTTGATGACCAAGTCGTCCTTGCCTTTGAGGTGCATAACGATGGTCAACCCCTCAATGCCCAAGTTGTCACTCTCCTGCGACTCCTGCAAGACAGCCTCGACCTGGTGCGTAGCGGACATTTCGGCTTTGAGGTGTCGGATCTCGGTCGTCAGTGACATGTAACGGTCTTTCCAGCTACACGCGTGATTTGGCGGCGCGACGGGTTGAGGCCGATGCACTTCTAGGTCCAAGGGTTTTTCGACAATGGAGAGGCCGTTCTCCCGATGTAATTCCTCCGTAGCGACTTGGCTATCCCGGGCTGCTCCCTGGCCTTGATGAAGAGCGACTTGATGCGGATGAGCTGGTTGTAAAGGAGTTGCAGGTACCTGGCTTGCGGTAGATTTGTTGGAGATGATGCGCTGGGCGCTTTGCGTCTCCCGAACAAGTTGCTGCTCGATCTTCAACCGCTGCGGTTCTTCCTGTGTCTGCATAGTCTCCTCCTGGTATTGCTCTTGGAGTGTCCGGTTCCCATGGTGAGATCCCCTCATGGTATGCTGGGCGACGGCGTTTTCAAGGGCTTGCGTCTGGGGTCTCACAGCCACCGGCGTTTTTTGCCTTGCCGAGTCTGACCCAGTCACAGGGCCTCGGTGATGTTCTCCAGAGTGTACTTGGCGGAATCCTTGGGACGAGCGTTGATTTGAGCGTATACCAAGCAGTTCCGCCCAATCCTCAGCCCTGTTTGATTCTTCAGCTTTAGAAGATGAATGCTGGTTGGCCATCCATACTTTTTCATGCGCAGCAGATAATCTGTTGGATGAACGAAGCGCATTCCCGCCCTCGCGAACGAAACTCTTGGGTCGATCGAGCTGTCGATTTGCATTCAAGTGGCTGCGCCACAAGTCATGCTGGCTTTGAGTAGAGACATGCCGTAGTCTCGAATGAATCCAATCCTCAGCTGCTTCATGGCTTGGATGCTTCAACCACGAGGGAGGACTTCTGACACGCTTCTTGGGTGCTATTTGCTTATGAGTGACTGGGTTAGTGGCGGGTTCCACTTTTCCAGACCTCTTTCGTTCTTCCTCATCGACTCTTTGTTGTATGGCAGATATCTTGCTATGGATGCCTCCCTCCGCCATATGCTGCCTCACTACGGCTTGTTTGGAGTGCGCAGCGTGAGGCTTGATCGGAACGGCGGGAGCCTCAAATTGTGTCATTGGTCTTGAGGCGCCCTCAGAAACATCAGCGTTGAAATGCGTAGAATCCAAGCTTGTGATCTGGTGTTCTTCTTGATTACACAAGGCACTACTCCAGTCAGAGCCGGCAGCCGTGATCTGCTTACTTGAATGATGTGCGCTCTGGCCTGACTGATGGTCGTGTGTTGCATAGGTTTTCTTGTAATGGGTTGACGAATGTGTATCTTCAACTGGTTCTCCAGTCCAGGCATGCCCCGAGGTCTGCTTTACTCCTTGACTGCTTCGAAAGTTACTGAAGTCATTGTGCGTCGACCCATGTTTCTGACGGGTTCTCCGCAGCCCTGGGGGCAAAGCTCTAGGCGATAGAGTATGGCTGCCGTTGTTCGGACTAGAGCCGACATGCGCGGGCTCTTCACGGCAAGGATGTCCCCGTTGTATAGGGTCTTCTACATATTCGTAGGAGCTGACCTCCGCCACAGCTTGGACAGGCGTGAGGGGAGTGAGATGCCTGGCTATTTGTAACCCTTCGTGTGCTCCTTTACGGTGAGGCTTTTCTGCTGCATGCACACGCAAACTAGGGAAATCATGTCCGGCTGCTGCTGCGAGATGTTCCGCAATATGATGTGCTCCATGAAAGCCAGAAGAGTGGTGCCTGTGTATATTCGCATGCCGTGCATGCTCATCTGTTGATCGTGGTGGACACTGCCGTGGACCCGGAGCCGGTGAAGTGGCTCCCAAAACCTCGGCAGAAGATTCAAACCTTGCTGTAGGGCCAGTTATGAACTCGCCACTCCCGCTGCTCCGATAGTGTGCGCAGGCTACGCTGTGACGATATGGATGATGCCCCTTATGAGTAGCGCGACATGCTGGATCGCCACAACCTTCAGGGGCGGTGTCTGGCCGGAGGTTAGCACTCATTAGTCAAAACATCGACCGTGGACGTGAGTACTACCACGGGTATCTTGAGTCGTTCCTGAAGCGCCTACGATGTCTGCGGTATTCCTGTCTGCTAAGAGAAATCGGTTTTGTTGTACCGGCGAAGAATGTTCTTTTTGGGTGTCGAGCTTGACGGCACTTGACCGGGAATGATCATCTACATGAGAGATGTGATGGAACGTAGCATGATCTGATTCCGCGATAGCCTGCTGATCATTTGCGCGCCCTTCATTTGCTGTCGGAGGCTTGACATACCGCGCTCCATCCCGTCTGATTGCGGGGCTCGGGTGGTGCGAGAAGCCCGTGTGGCCCTCTGCAGTGGTCTTGGGAACTTCGCAGCGGCATCGTTGACAGAGTCGATGGCCACATGTTGAGCAATGTGCTGGCGACCACGTACGGGCCGAGCAGACATGGCAAATGCGGCAATATCTTCGGGGGCTGTGGTTTCCATCTCCCGAGAGAAGATCCAAGTCCTCGTCGTCCGAGAGCCAGCCGCTGGGCCTCCCTACTCCATGCTGTACGAAAAGGTCTCTGGCAGATTTCCGTTTCCCTTTGTCATCACTGCCCTCGGTATCAAAAGCGACAGAGGAGTTTGAGTAGTCATGGCTGTCAGCGGGCGGGAAGGTTAGTCCAGGATGTTGAGCGGGGCGTTGCGCTTCAGGTCCCCGCCCCTTAGATGTATGCAGACGTTCGCCGTGAACATGGCGGGTCTCTTCAGTGTAGGCGTGATCATCACTGTGCTCCTAACGCGCAACCTTCAGCCCGACATATGAGTGTTCAGGCCGGGTAAAATGGGATCGAGAAAGGCGCCCCCAACCAATCGACGTATGCTCCGGGTCCCATTCCCACCAAAGCTCGTCTGAGGCGTTTTGCCGGTGATCAAGTGTCCCGCGAAGACGACGAGCTCGAGCCGAGATAGTACTGTTGCCGTCGTCTTGGGGGCAATGCGTGAAACCGGGAGGGGTGATAGGAGGTTCACCTCGGCTGTGGTCATCTAACAGATATTCTGGGTTCGTTGTAGGGTTGGCCATTGCTTGCCGTTAGCTGAATCCGACGGATGCTTGCCGAGCCAGCGTCGGACAAGTCATTGAGCCGGAATTGCGCGCCTCCAAGACTGCCTAGTATTGAGCGTTAGGTAGCATGAGGGAATATAGAGTGGCAGGCATCAGGCGGCAACGAATGGTTCAGCTGCCCGGTGGCGAGTAAATCATGTTAGTATACGCCGGGGCAATCGCGACCGGACCCAACGGAACAGGCACAGCAAACTGGAAGGAACCATTCGGAAAGGCCTCAACAATGCTCAATTCATGCAGTCACGCCTTGCTGATTATAGGAAAGTTTTGTGATGTACACAGGGTAACCCCCAGTCCTCTCTATACACGCTCTATTTCAAAACGGACTGCAGGCTCTCCAGAACCTGGGACTCTGTTAGCAGGACTCCACAACGCAGCGACGTGCAGCAGAGGCACATACCTCGAGTTCGATCTTGGCCTCGGCAATGTCCTGCTCGCTTCCACTGCCGTTTGCGATCTTCTGTGCTTCCGTGATCTGGGAACGAACGGCGTCGGCGCTGAAATCCTCCACGGCGTACCCCTCAACGGCGTTGATGCTCATGACCGAGTTGGGCTGAACAACAGCGAATCCACCAGACACTGTAACCAGTCAGCCTCCCGCTCTCAATGTGGGTGTTGTCGTTGTCTTGTCGGATGGAACGTACGGAAGAACTGCTTGCTGCTGCCGCCGTCCTCAATGACCTCGATCAGACCGGGCTTCAGCTGCTCGATGGAGGGAACATGGTTGGCAAGGACACCCATCTCTCCGGACTCGGCGGGGATGTTGACCTGGACGACATCCTGGGACTGGAAGATGGACTGTTGCGGCAATTAGCTCGGGCCGTCCTGCAATGCGCGGCTCGGTCGTCGACGTCGGGGGCATCATGGCCATCGCATCGACGTGCTCCTGCTCCATCGTTCGGGTCATCGTACCTGGTGGGGAAGGGCCAAGCTCAGCTTGATCTGTGTCATGTGTTAGCCTACGCGAAAACCCAGGGGATCCGCGATCACGAAAGCTGGGACGGACCTTGTCAGGGGCGGCGTCGGCGTAGGTGCGGCGCTGCAGAGGCATCCGCAGAGCTGCGGGACGGGCTCGCAGAGCTGCTCGGGCGACGCGGAAGGTGTTCATGATGGGTGGTGCTGCCAATTGGGAATGCGTATCGGAGCAGCTTCGAATCGTTCACGATGGTCGTCAACCGCAAATTGAGGAATTGGAATGTTGCTCTCGGGACGAATCGGCTGTCCTGCTCCGAGGGCACGTGCTGAGTCCCGTGACCTGAGCTCGATCCAGGGGAACAAAAAAAGTCTCGAGGGAAGTCACGTGACAAATTTCGCGTGACATAATCTTGTCCTTCCATCTCTCTCTCGTTCGATGCTAACCGCTGACTGTACAATTTGCTGACACTTCGAGCCCATCAATTCGTTATCATCGTCAGAGTCATCAAAAGTTGCCAAGCCCGCCAGTTGCCAAAATATCATACTCAGCCGCAATACGTATCAAACTAGGTCCGCGGCAAACGGGCTCAGCCCGATGGCATTATCGCCTCTTTCAAACATGGTCCACGACTTCTGCTCCTGTTCGCCATGCGCCATGTCCTGAGTCACAGATCTGCCGCCTCTGGTCTGTCACAGATGCAGTGCAACTATCACTGCACGTAGCCATTAGCTCTAGCCGTCACCTTGATCATGCAATGTGTGTGTAGCAATTAGCCTGAGCGATTGGTCCTAGTAAATGCCTCAATGGCACAGTCGCACCGCAATCTGACTTACACGAACGGCTCCCTAGCATTATAGTCAGTCAGCTCCATGCTGTCGGGGACCTGGCTTCCAAAAACATATCATCTCGTATATTCTAAAGAATGATGGCTTTGCTAGCGGTCAGCCAAAACAGACGAGCACCCCAGTCGCATCCAGTTCATTGCGCCTCGTGATCCGGCGACGATGCGGCAGAGCTGGAAAGGGATCACATAGGCAGCGCCAGCTAACTTATCCTGTACCATCACATGCATGGGCTTATTACTGTGCAGGGCCCAGCTGCGTCCAATACCTACGCCGGCTTGGGGTAACAGGTCTCGATGCGACATTGCGCTGACGGTGCAACCCAGCTCAAGCACCGAGTCTCGATCTCAATCGATGGTGAGATACTATACACCGCCGCAGACATTCCGTCTCATACGGGCAATTGACCCTTCCGACAGGCTGTTGGCACACAATCTTACCATATCTGATGGGATCGTATGAGACGTTTCGATGTTGAGTAAGAAAGGACCCTGAAATCCTTGGGATCTGGAGGATCCAAAACGGGCATCCCGAGCCAGGATATCCCGATAGACGAGCGCCCATGTTCTATTTGTGCCACGCGCTGGTGCCGCAGTCCTCTTGGGCATGTGCGCGTCCACAGCCAGCGTCCACTGCAGTGCTGGTGCTCCATACCTGCCCACGGGCCCCAATCACAGAAGTGCGGGGTTCGTGCCAGCGACAACGCGTGTGGGTGTCGGTGTGTGGGGTTCAGATTAACAGCTCGGATGCCCAATATCGGCCATGGAACGACCGCTCGTAGGCGACCTCCATTCTCGAGGCTCGAGAGGGCCTAAGAGGGAGAGAGGGTGTGAACCCCAACCTAGACAGGCATTCCCAACCGCCGTAGGGCATAGGGCCGTAGGCTCGCCAAACCATGTGGAAAGCTGCGAAGGCTGCTGTGTGCAACTTTGCGGAAGTTGACCGTCGCAGTCTGCTTGGTTGCATTGAGGAGGTCACTTGACGCTCCCCTCCCCCCGCGTGTGAAATCGGGCCTTGCAAATCATCACGTTGACTAGCCTGGTATTACGATGCATGGGCGGCTTGGAATAGCTAGTTCCATGGTGAAACCTGTCAATCCCCCAGTCTGTTATGGAAGCTATCGACAACCTGGGTGCTGGCGAGCGGAGCCGAGAGGGAAACGTGGCTGCGTGGATGATCTGTCAATGGGAATCTCAAGTTGATTTGCATGCCCATGATCTGCTAGTTGCATTAGGTTAGGCTTGTATTCACATCATCCAGCGTTGCCAGCGACACTTGGGATCCACGTGAAAGTATTGGGGTTATCAGTTCCAACGACGGCCAGGCAATTCGGTTGGTTGATGGGGGAGGTGACGGTTATGCATGTTTTCCTGAAGAGTTAATTAGATGAGGAGTGATGTCAGAGGATGCGCGGCGTTGCAGCGTGCCGCATCCTCAGGACCGAGGACAAGTTGCACGCTTGGAGAAAGCCGGGTGGGAATAGAAGTGCATATCGCAATCATATCATAGACGGCAGTACTGTCGTAGTACTTACAGTACAGTACCTGGGTGGAATCCGTCTTGGCCAATATGGGCAAAAGTGGAATTGTCAGCCTGATTAACCAGCCAAGGCGCCTTGATTAAGGTATTATGGTGTAAAGCTGACGACGCTACAGAGACGCAAGCGGCCAAGATCTGTGACGCGGATGGCCAACATTACCTGGGTAGATACTATGGCAGAGTTCGAGGCGTGTATCAAGAACCAGGATATTAGCATGGAACGTGGTTATACGTGCTCAAGAGGATCGAAAGGGCAGTGAACCAGGTTTGAGGATCATGGCGATCTATTTGCGACAGCTGCGGTGCGCGGGCATGGAGGCTCAAGTAAAGCTGACTTTCCAGCTTGCCACCATGCTGACTCTGCACGGAGTTACTACAATGTATACAGGTACTTGTCGCGCCTGTTGTTACCAATTATAATATACTTCGCACAGCCAACCGCAGCATTGTTCCCCCCCGCCGCAATCGGCATACAAGGAGGGAACCAAAAAGATGTTTTAGTTTGAGAAAACAGGAACGAAGCGCATTGCTAGATCTATTGTCAGGTTATGCACCCTAGGCCACGAGGTGATGTCAGGATGAATTGAACAAAAGTCTTTTCGTCACTGTGAAATTACAAGGCCCAGATTTTCTAGGCCGTCGTGTTGAGAGTCTCCATTAATAGACCAAATTTCCGGAAATGGTAGGACACTGTGTGAAACGAGTCTATGGTCGCTCAGAGCTTAGAGCAGGAGCCCGGCTTCACACCAAGCACACGAAGGGGATGGGGAAGGAAAAACAAAACGGTAGGTGAGGAATAATAAATCACTCACCACCAACTCTGCTATGGTACGCTAGGCGCTGCCGTCTGCGAGTCATCCCACGTCGGGAGCGTTCGCGATTTAGGGGGTTTTCATGCATTGCAGCGCGACGAATCGGACGGACATGCACGCAGGTCGAGTGGGACTGTGCTGGCGTTGACGAGATTTGATGGGAAAGGTTTCATTTCAACCAGCCCAGCTATGACAAACTGAATTGTCGGCTTCCAGCGCCCATCCAGCGTCCGGATGCCCTGTTGCAGAGGCTGCTCCGTTCGCGCAGCGCGCCGAAAATTTCCCCAGCGTATGGAAGACGCGCCCCGAACCCACCAGACCCCAGCAAGCCCGCTGGAGCTTGGGCGCTCGACGACCAAACCCCAGTGGTTCTGCCGTGAGAAACAGCACTACGGCTGGCGCCCGCCTTATTCGGTGGTCCCTTTTCCAGGTTGGTGAGAAAATTTTCTGATTTCGCTCGGTGGCAGAAACGCTACCTGGCGACGCCAGCACAAGCCAGGAGTAACGTTCAGCTGCGACGCGGCCAATGGCAACGCAGTGATTTGTCCAACCACTGGGGCCCGCCATCGCAAATACAGTACACCGCACAGTTCTGTTGGATACTCCCTGTAGGAGAACCTCGACCCCACGCTTGCCAGCAGGGGAGGACAAGGAGTGCCTGATCCGTGCTGGAGCGCCGTTCGCATGGGAAATGGCTGCGAGCAAGCGAGGAGCGTGTTTCCCCATCGTCTTGCTACCACAAGCAGACAAGCCTCGCCCGGGCCTGGTCGCTCGTTTCCCACCCATCCAGCGCTTGGGCGCAGGGCCATGTCCCGCTTGCAAGCGTGCCTCTTTTATTTCTGATTTTTATTATTACCCGCAGCTAGTTAGCTTCCAGCACATGAATGGAACGAGTCCATACCGCTTGTTCCTTTCCGCCAGACCGCCTGGGGCATCCACTCAAGTGCACACCACACCCACAGCTTGACAACGGCACAAGCTCGAGGTCGTCCTTGGGCTAGGGTGCCCTATTCGTGAATCAAAGGCAGCCCTCGAGCCAGCGGCAGCCGTTGCGCGCACCCGCATGCGCTCTCACAAAAGGGTCCAATTCCTCCCACCGCCCTCTGCTCCGGCAGCCGGAAAACCTGGTCTGCCCATCTACCCATCTGCTCATCTGCTCACCTGCTGCACGGCGCCCACGGCAGTCAGGTTTGTCAGGATATTCTAGGTTCGCCAGGCATCTCTGCTGACTGTGTGTGTGCATTGTCCCATCTTTGCCAATCCCTACTCTGGTGGATTCCCAACTTCCAAGCCCGCCTCACTGAGCCACCCAATCCCGACGTCATCCGCGCGAGACCGGATCGAGTGGCAGACTGGCACTCCCTGACTGGCACTCCTCCAAGTGAAGTACCAGAGTACCAGCGACCCCTGCGCGCCCTGGGGGAACCCTAACGGGCCAAGATTTTCCCAAGGGACCTTGGACCTTCTTCCCACGCAAACCACGCCAGAGCCCTGCATCCACCCAGTGCAGATCCCATCGGTGCCATCACACGGCCCAGCGCCTCCCACCCAGCCAAGATAATTCCCGCGGTTACTCTACCGTAGTGCCCGCTAGGGAACCCTCGCCTCGATCCTTTTTCCTGCGACTTTTCGTTCCCTTCAGTTACCTGCTTCGCCCGCAACACAGCAACAACACACACACACACACATAACAACAACAACCCACAAGCAACTGATCATCCTTCCCCTCCCCTGTCCTTGCGCGCGTGGCATATCTGCTCTGCTCTGCTAAGCTTTGCTTTGCTTTGCCCTCCCATCTATATCAAATCATTCGAATCCCTCACGTTACAGATTTATCCGTCATGGGTCGCCAATTATAGCAACACGGTCCCTTGGGACAACTTTATCACAGCTGCTGAGGACTGCACATAGTGCAACCTTTGAAGGCTCCCCGACGATATCTTCGAACCGTCAGCTGCTGAGGACATTCGAGAGATTTCTGCTTATTGTATTGAGTCGTTTTGCGACTTGGATACTCTGTTCGACCGCGTCGTACCCGGTTTCACGACAGGCTGCCCGGTAGTCTTTCTCGATCACGCGGGTTTTGCCACCCGCGCAGGGCCACGGCCGACGACCACTTACAACCACTTTACCCACCAACCCTTCTCACATCTCTTCGTCATGACGAACGAAAGGATACACGACTCGACCACGTCAAACGTACTGGCGTGGTCTTCCCAGAGTGCACACATGCAGCACGAACCCGAAGACGAGGCGGCCGCAGAAGTTGATGAACCGCCCGAACACCACTACGAACCCGATTTTAAGCGGACAGCTGTTCGCAAGCAGGCAGACCATGCGCGGTCGCTTCTGACCAAGGCTCTGCACCACGAATCCGACGACGAGGTCGAGCCGACCTCGTTCAGCTTTGGGACCTCGCCCTCGAGACGCCGGTCGATGAACAGCACCTTCAGCCTTGCTTCCACCGCCGACCTTACCTGCGACACGGGACTCACCAGCCCTGCCAGAACAAACACGCCCAGCCCTCCCCCTCCCGTCGTTCAATTGGGTCGGCTGAACCTAGGTTTCTTCGACTCCAAACCCAAGCCTGGCAATGTCTCCTCGGGCAGCGTCAAGGCCGACACTACTCCGACCAAGAAAGCCACCGAAACCACCCCGGCCACGGATCGCTCCAAGGACCCTGCCGTTGAAGCTTTAGCCAAGAAGCGATGCATCTCTTTCGCCTGTGGCCCCAAGGTGGAGGTCAAGAAGCCCGTTCCGTCACCCCAGGCAAGCTTGCCTAAGCAGGCGGCCCCTGCTGCACCTGAGCAGCCAGCTCAGCGACGGACCTGCATCAAGTTCGCGTGCCCCTCGAAACCCTCAAAACCCCAGACTCCACCACAGAGGCAGCAGGTTCGGGTTCAGGTGCCAGATACTGTGCCATCATCCAATAAGGACCGGGATGGTTCTCCGGCTACTGTGCGAAAGTACCGATCTTCCTCCATCGGCCGCTCGCCGAGATCCGTGACACCCCGGCGGAGACATTCCAAGAGTCCCGTGGCGACCCGGCACAAGAAGTACTTGATCGCTGATTCTGCCGATTTGAGCCGCGATTCGGCACACTTCCACGAATTTGCCAGCGACGAACCTCAGGAGGATGACTGGATTCGCCACAACGTGCCAACCGCTGCCCAGCGGCTCACGATCAACGATACCTTGCGCAAGGAATTCGAGATCCGTCGGCTTGGCAGGGAAGCCGAGGAGGAGGCCTTGCAAGAGGAGTTTGATGACGAGGTCGAGGACGACGGCGAAGAGGACCCGGACAACGTGGACGAGGACGACGATGTCGACGGAGATGACCTTGATGATTTCGAGGATGACCAGTCTGGGTACGGCTCGGACGATGATCTCTCTGACGGATACAACACCGACAATGAGATCGGGTTTGCCGATTCGGATGGCGACGATGATGCCGACGACCTGGAACTATGGACCCACGGTCAGGCATCGACGCTGCAACTGTCCGGAGCCACACCTACTGCCCGGCGTCCTTCCCTCGGAGGCAACAGGTCCGATTCTTCCTCGTCATCAGAAGCCCCTACCAGACGCCCAGCATCGCGAGAGAAGACTCGTCGCATCAAGATCCGGCCGGGTACTCCCGAGCTGCCTGACAGCACTGATTTCGTGTGTGGCACCCTGGACGAGGACCGGCCTTTGGAGGATGCGTACATGTCGTGCATTGCCCAGAAAAGGCGAGAGAAGCTCCACGTGATCCCGCAGGACATCGACCCCAGTTTTCCGACCTCTGAGCCAGAGGATGAGGAGGAAGATAAGGCGGCACACGAGACCGACGATCACGTGTGGATCCACGGCGAGCTGGAGGACTTGCACCATGAGCATGAGAGAGCAGACCGCCGCAAGAAGAGGAGCAACAACAACTCGCCCAAGCGATACCGTTCTCCCCCTCCCAAGCGTCACCACTCGCCTGCTCCCAAGGGCCGAGGAAGATCGCCCCGACGACTCTTCGACCGACACTCGCCTCGACGGCTGGTATCGCCAGCTCTCCCGTCGGGTCGAGGAATCAGGTCGCCACCCGCCTCGCCCCTGACGGCGGCCCATGGAGCTATTGACTTCAAGACATTGGCGGCCAAGCCTGGGCTCACGCACACCAAGTCTCTCCCCCGACCGCCCGCGCTGTTCCCCGGCAACATGAAGGGGCAACGCCGCAGACAGGCAGCCTACACGGGAGCTCGCGGACACGTCCGCGGGGCCATCGACATTGTCAAGGGCCTGGAGCACAAGCGCCAGCGACGGAGGGAGAAGTATATTCAAAAGCACTGCAACCGGGCCCGCAAAGGGCAGGTTGCGGCCAAGAGGCCCGAACCCGGCAAGGGAGCCCAGCGGATGCGAGAGCTGGGTCTTCACATGGCCGGCAAGCATGGACCGGATCACTACGTGCTCTCCATTTGAGAGACACGCGCGGAGTGCGGACTGCGCATCGCGTTCCATCGCTTAGGACTGTTTCTTTGTTCTACGTGACACCTTCTCAGGGGCATTGCATTCATATCGCACATCATATCAGCCCTGCCTGTACATAGATTTGGTAACGAATTTCCTTCTTTTTTCTTCCTTTTTCTTCATCATGGCCGCGGCTCCTCACAAGACGAGGAAGCGGGATCTCAATTCAGCATCTGGACAGGGGGGTTTCACTGCACTTCAGGATACCACGGGGGTATGGGCATATTGCATAGCATCAGGCGGCGACCCGGCGGAGTTGTGCTCAATGAAATATAAACATGATCGCCAACACAGTTGGCATCACTTCTGAACAACACTTTGAAATGATCTTGTCTTGCGTGTGTGTGCGGTGTGTGCGCGCGTGCTTTGCGGACCTATCTACAGTGATGGTTGTTGTATGAGTGACGGGGTGGAACTGGTGGTATTGGCCAGTTGAAATTCTTGTTCTCAGGAGTCGGGTCTTGATAACTAAAACTGGCATGCAAAGAGCAGGAATTGACGGCATATGGCGAGCGCCGGGGGACCACGTCGTGGGTATTTGAGAAAGATACATACCTACACCCTAAGTAGGTACCTAGTCTTGAGGTGGTTGTGTTCTTGGTTCTCGTGTGAAAGGGATCCCTTACCTGAGAGTTTCCACAATGGCAACGTCGGACGTTTGGGGCGTCGTGGCCTGAAGATTGAGGCCGTCATGATTGGCCTGAGTGAGCAGGTCGAGGTCCCTAGGGGCCGAGCTCTGGTTTCTGATTGGCCGACAAAGTTCTTGCCAGGTCTCCAGCTTCTGCCCAGGTGCTGCCCCGGCTGCCAGGCCCCAGGCCCCAGGCCGGCCACCGACGTAAAGGGAAGGGTGACATCTTCCCATTGTCGGGATCGACTGTCGGCCTCCAAAGAAAGGAATTCCATCTTCCCACCCGCCATTCCTCCCGGATTCCGCTGTCAACGTCAGCAACGCCCATCAAACCACCACCGCACACCACACAGCACCAGCTACGAAAGCGATTCCCGCCGCCGCTCGCCATCATGTGGATTGTCAACTGGTGTACGTGCCCACCCCCCCGAAGCCCAGCCCAGATGCACATGCATGTCCCCGTCTCGCTCTCCCTCCCATCATCACCACCGTCCGCTGCCACCCAGAGCCGCAGGCTGACCATGGCCCGTGTTGCCCCCCAACAGTTATGGACGTCCTGTCCTCCCTCGGCCTGCTCAACAAGCACGCCAAGCTGCTCTTCCTCGGTCTCGATAACGCCGGAAAGACGACTCTCCTGCACATGCTCAAGGTGCGTACCACCGACTGTCGGGCAATCTAGGGGAGCCATCACGGGATACCTTGTCTTGGGTCACGGCACTCATCAGGGGACAAAGAGATGCTGATATCATGGTTTTCCAGAACGACCGCGTTGCCATTCTCCAGCCTACCCTCCACCCTAGTATGTCCCCGTTGCGCCAGATCCAACACCTGCTTCTACGGAAGCAGGCACGTGTGCGAATGCTAACGGCAGCGTAGCCTCCGAGGAGCTAGCCATCGGCAACGTGCGATTCACAACCTTCGACCTCGGTGGTCACCAGCAGGGTACAGTGCCCCCCCTCGCTTCCGCGTCGCCCAAGGCTTCTCCCCCCGTCCGCTGACCAGGCTGTTGTAGCACGTCGTCTCTGGAAGGACTACTTCCCCGAGGTCAACGGCATCGTCTTCCTCGTCGATGCCAAGGACCACGAGCGCTTCCCCGAGGCCAAGGCCGAGCTCGACGCTCTCCTGTCCATGGAGGAGCTCGGCAAGGTGCCGTTCGTCGTCCTGGGAAACAAGATCGACCACCCCGACGCCATCTCAGAGGAGCAGCTGCGCCACGAGCTCGGCCTATACCAGACGACGGGCAAGGGCAAGGTGCCCTTGGAGGGAATCCGGCCCATTGAGGTCTTCATGTGCTCGGTCGTCATGCGACAAGGTAGGCCACAAATCACTTGGAGCGGCCCCTACAGGTATGGGGACGGAACTAACGCTGGATGACAGGCTACGGCGAGGGTATCCGATGGCTCTCCCAGTACGTCTAAGGACGCTGCGCCGTTCGAGGAGAGAAAGTAGAAGCGGTCGAAAGGGGGAAGGGGTGGAGGACGTCACGGTGTCTAGAACATGTGCGGTCAGGTCAGGGGGGGAAGAAAGATGACGCGCATGCGGTTTTCTGCGAACGATGTTCCGCACGCGTTGCTTAGGCGGGATTGGAGTTAAATGAACAGCTTATTGCGTGCGTTTGTCGTATTTTTGTTTCCGGGCTTCTGGGTTCTATGGGGAGGTCCATGGCAATAGAGGCAGATCACAAATTTTCTCGAGTGTTTTTTTCTCATCACGTGTACGCACGCCCTGCGTTTCAGTCATGGATCTATGTTCCCCCTTCGTGTCTAGAGCAATGACAGAACATCCCTCGAAAGATCGTAACCATCTGGTTTCATGGATGTCAAGAAGGCTCGACATGAGCGAACCCGATGTATCCGCGCATGCAAGTACCACGACTGGTGGTGGGTGGTGTTGCAAAGACCGGCTCTTCCGAAGAGCAGTTCAAAGCACCGGGTTGGATATCATATAACCGAGTAGAAGTTGGGCTGTCCCACTCTGTCTGTGTATAATGGCTCAGATTGAAAGTAAAAGACGATCGAACCACGTAACAAGACAATTTGCCACGTTTTCCTTTCTCCTGGAGTTGAATACCGTGACTGTTTATAGATGTGGAAGATGTACTATTGGTCCAGTGTGGTTTCCGAAGCACAGACGCCTGCCCGGAAATATTCTGAGATTATTCGCCCACATCACCCCATCTCGTCTGACGTTACAACGCGAACAACATTGACACCTGTTCCTATGGGATTTGAAGTACGATGCAAGTCGGGGGAATCGGCAGGTGGTTCGGGAACCGACCAAAGGACAGTGGAATAATTCGGCTTTACACGGCTCTTCACTGCTTACTCTTCCCCGGTATAATGGGAATAGCGGATTACCACGAGCCAGGACTATTCGGTATATACTCGATAATGGTCTGCAGTTGTTTGAATGTGTCCCATGACTCTTTGTCCAGTATCACCATGCCTGGATTCGACGTAACAGGGGCGGTCATAGATCCAAGAACAGGAGAAGTGCACCTTCGGTCACATTTAACTATAATTAATCCAACCATGAATCGCAGAACTCCGTTTCAGAGGCGTTGGGTATACTGTTGTTAAAGGTGCCTCTGCTGCCCAGGTGGGTTATACAGCTGTGTCAGTAACCGAGGTCGCACCACGAACCGCGCAGGTCTTTGTGCCGAAATATATGCGTATGTCAAAGGGGGAAAAAGGCACAACGGGGGCCTCGCCTTTCAGAGAGAACCAAGTAGGGTGGGTCATGGTCAGTATCGAAAGCATCGTCACTTGCGACTACGGCGAAGCGTTGTCCTCATGCTGTGTATCTCGTCCGAACCCCTGCTAGTTTAGTGAGGCTCATTCCTGTTCAGCACCCCCACCTTCAGCGCCTGCCTCCCTCGGGCCTTGCCCCCAACCATTGGAGCACTCCTCCTTTGGTGCTACTAGCCCAGAGCGACGTCATCCCGAGGTGCAGCTGGCCAGCACCGGAGCTGTGAAAAGGTCCATCCATTCCTCGTGAGCAGCCTGCACCACGTGGAACGGTCTCGGCGTTTGGGGGGCATCTCGTCTAATTGTCTCACGATATCTTTCCATGTCGATTCCGAACGACTTGAAATAATCGTTATGTCCACAAACCTGCCCAAAGGCCACAGCGATCATGGCGAATGAAAAGAAGTCGCGTCGTGTCACCTTTCTCGGCCAGCCCTACCATGACTACGGGTTCCCTCCTGAGGCCTTCGACCACCGTCGCCTGCCCGACGCCGACGTCGACTTCCTGAGCCCCGAGGACATCGAGGCCTTCAAGTCGGCTCTGAGCGCCCCCGATCCCCTCACCGCCTCGGCCGACGACGGCTCGCTGCTGAAGAGTCCCACGCTGCGCAGCAACAGCGGCGCCAACCTGGAACAGCCGCCGAGCCCGCTTCTGGGGAGCAGCCCATCTGCCAACAGTAACAGCAGTTTGCGACATCGGCACGGAAGCCAGGCGGGGCTGCTCATCTCTGCCCAGAATGACTGGGCTCCTGTCAACGAGAGGATATCCAAGCCGGGGAAGCGGCGCAGGAAGAGGGGGACCGTGGGCCGCAGCGTCGACGAAGCGCGGGAGGGCTACCTGTACGCCCTGCTGCGGTGGCCCTTCCTGTTCGGCACCCTGCTGTGGATCATCGGGCTCGGCGTCGCCTACATGACGACCCGGCTGTACGTCTGGGGCTACGAGTACTTTGTCGCCTGGCGCGGCCAGCGGGAGCAGCTGCGGCGCAAGATGCGCGCCACCAGCAACTACAGGGACTGGTCCAACGCCGCCAAGGACCTCGACGCCTACCTGGGCAACCACCGCTGGAGGGAGGAGAACGAGTACGCCTACTACGACTCCAAGACGGTCCGCCGCGTCTGGGAGCAGATCAGGAAGCTCAGGCAGGAGGCCGAGGCCCTCGAGACCCAGAAGACGGGCCCGCTGGGCGTCTCGAACGGCGCCAAGAACACGGCTGCGGGGGAGAAGCCGCCGATAGAGGAGCTGAAGGCCCTTATTGAGGCCTGCGTCAAGAGCAACTTTGTCGGCGTCGAAAACGCAAGGCTATACAGCGAGACTTATTATGGCACCAAGAACCTGGTGCAGAACTTTGTTGATGAAGGTATGTGGTTCCCCCATGCATTACTGCCTTTTAGAGAGTGCTCGCCGCTGACAACATTTCACAGTTGAGAAGAGTACTCGTCTGCTTGTGAACACTACCCAGCTACCGCTCGAACAGAAGCAGACGCTATTCAAGCATTTACACGCAAACTACGGTCGCACCGCTTTATGTTTATCCGGTGGCGCCACTTTTGCATACTATCATTTTGGAGTCGTGAAGGCTCTGCTCGAGGCAGATCTCATCCCAGACGTCATCACAGGGACGAGTGGTGGTGCCTTGGTGGCCGCTCTCGTTGCCACACGAACAAACGAGGAGCTGAAGCAGTTGCTTGTCCCGGCTCTTGCATACAAGATCACCGCTTGCTCGGAACCTATCACCAAGTGGGTCGCGAGATGGTGGAAGACGGGGGCCCGATTCGACTCAGTCGACTGGGCCCGTCAATGCAGTTGGTGGGCTCACGGGTCGATGACCTTCCGAGAGGCGTATGAGCGGACTGGTCGTATTCTCAATGTCTCATGCGTCCCAGCTGATCCTCACTCGCCGACCATTCTCTGCAACTACCTGACCAGCCCCGACTGTGTCATTTGGTCAGCTGTTCTGGCCTCGGCTGCGGTTCCTGGCATTCTGAATCCTGTGGTGCTCATGATGAAGTCAAAGGACGGCACTCTGAGCCCATACTCATTTGGTCACAAGTGGAAAGACGGCAGTCTGCGGACTGATATACCCATCAAGGCCTTGAACCTCCACTTCAACGTCAACTTCACCATCGTCAGTCAGGTTAACCCGCACATTTCCCTGTTCTTCTTCTCGTCGCGAGGCACTGTTGGCTCGCCCGTCACCCATCGCAAAGGACGTGGTTGGCGTGGCGGGTACCTCGGTTCCGCAACAGAACAATACATCAAGCTAGACCTCACGAAATGGCTCAAGGTGCTCAAGCATCTCGAGCTCCTACCGCGCCCCCTAGGCCAGGACTGGTCACAACTCTGGCTGCAGCAATTCAGCGGCACCATCACCATCTGGCCCAAATCGAAGCCCAGCGATGTCCTGCGCATCCTCTCGGATCCCGATCCAGACCCCCTGGCACGCATGATCCACGAGGGACAGCAGAGCGCCTTCCCCAAGCTCAAGTTCATCGCCAACCGGCTCAAGGTCGAGCGCATGATCGAGCGCGGGCGCAGGGAGACGCGCGGCCTCAGGCGGGGCAGCCTCGAGAGCATCATCGACGAGGACGACCTGCAGAGCCTGCTGCTGAGGAACGCGGCCGGCACCGACGGCGACACCACCGACGACCTCGACGAGGAGGTCATCGAGGATGGCGACTTTGAGGGCGCCGTCGAGGACTTGAAGGAGGACTGAGCCGCAGGAAAGCGTTGCATTGGTATGATACATGGTAAAATATCCCCATCGGTCGACCGCATTCATTTTCAGCCGTCATGGTAAAGGCGTTCAGGGGGTTGCCTGGCTCAGACGCCCGACGGGCGCGCTGTCGTCCCAGGCAGGCATGCATTTGCGAAGGCGTTTCAGTCTATAATTTAGTCGATTAGAGAGGCTGTAGATAGGCAATAATGTAACTTATGTACCAAACACTGCACGGGAATGGGCAGCCTATGTTGAATTACTAAAGGCGGCAGCTCCTCAGGGGTCGTTCCTGATTTGAGTCGATGGGATAACCCTTAACAAACAAATATCCGTTTTCGACCACCAAGCAAGCTATGTGTTCCGAATTTGCCCATTCCAGCGCCCCTGCGTGCCAAACTCGCGGCCCTAATTTGCCCTCCTTTGCTGCTGCTGCTGCTGCTGCCGCTGCTGCCCCTGTCCGGGTATTCAAGGTGGCACAAACACGTTGCTGGCCCGCGCGGTCCTGTCCACCGCACCCCGTTAGCCCCCGACATGCATGTTTGTAGGGCTGCGGGAGGAGTCCGTATGTGTTGGCGGGACCGCCTCATCTCAAGGGGCTGCGCATGGCTTTATTATCTGCGGGAAGAAAGGCAAGATTCCATATGGGATTCTCGAAGGCTGCTGGGTTTTCGAGGGATATACATGGATCTCGCTCATACGCCGTTCCACAGGTTCTAGAGGGAAATTTTAGATAAGGTCGACTCACGAGACTGTCCCAGAAGATGCATTAGGCGCATTATGATGGGCTATTTGATAAGGCAGGCTGTGGGCTCGAGACTAAGAAGGCGTCTTCTTCTTACTATGCCTTCGGAGTACCAATAACGGGTGCACGGTGTAGACGCAAAAGCCCCCAACTAGAATCTCGCGTGCGGCTCTCGCTGCTCACCGACTCGTCCGGGCCCGGCGTTATCTTGGTATGGATAGACTTCAGCCCTATGGCTCTTGTCTCAGATCGACTACACATCCAACACGCCAGGTCCTGCCAGGTGGACATGGCGCCGCCAAAAAGGAAAAAAAGGTGTCCAGGAAGCATCGCAAGGGGAGAAAAGCAAGCACGGTAATCCCACGGGCTCGGTCGGCGGCCTGGATCGCGCGGCTGCGCGCATGGTGCAAGAAGCCGGTGGGTAGATACAACGAACGTCGCTCCTGCGACACGTGGGTCTGCGATCTGTCCCAACGGCGTCGCCGCATGCTGTACGACAAGACGTGACACACGAAACGAGGTATGGTGGCTGGTGATCTGCCAAGTGGTTTCTGTATCACACGTGGCCCGCGGGTTTCTTCGTAGAAGATGCAGTTGCCGAGTTATTGATCGGTGTTCCGACGTTAATACTGTGAACAACTCCGACTTCCGGTCCTGGAAGCGGGATGCCACAGGACAGGGAATACATCCTGCGTCCTGGCTGTGATGTCTGAAGGTGGGGATGGTGAGGCATCTGACCGGTTGCGTCGTCGAGTTTGTGATGATGTGGAACGTGCCAATATGGGATATCCAGGGACGAGCGTCCGGGCCTGGTTTGGCTCCTGGCTTACTAGTATGAATCTACTTTGCTATTTTCTTTTTCGCAGATATCTTTGCGGAATGAGCAATCTCAGTCGAGGAGCTATTTATCCTTGACTCATCCTCCACATTGGGGCTTATGGCCATCAACAGAATTATCAGTGTTATCCAACCGTCAATTACCTCTGCACGTTCTACACACCAAGCTTGCCACTACTGTAGCAAGACAGAGAGAACTGCCTTGGAAGAGACAAGACAAGCCCACCTGATCAGCGTCCATCGACGCAAACTCTCGGGAGTTCGTATCAACCCAAACCGCGACTCCGATCGCAAAGAGAGAAACATGGCGAACACCAAACACGACAAGACTGGTGAAACAGCGAAGCCAACCTATGACCCAAAGTTCACGGATATGGTCATTGCTGCCACGGGCCCAAATGCAAACCCACGCCTTGCTCAGATCATGCCTAGCCTTTTGAGACACCTGCACGATTTCGCGAGAGAGGTTGACCTCACGGTTGCCGAGTGGACTGCTGGAGTTGAATTGGTGAGCTATCCTATGCTTGAATGTCATAAAAGGCGCGAGAAACAAGCTGTTCGCTACGCAGACGCCGTCGACTTCGAGACCTTGTGATGTCTCGACCCTAAAAAAGGACTCACAAGGAACTAACCGAAATTCGTAGATCAACGAGGCAGGCCAGATGTCGGATAACAAACGCAATGAGACCCAGCTGCTCTGCGACATCCTCGGCCTAGAATCGCTAGCCGACGAGATCACCTCCAAGCTCCTCGCACAGCAGGGCTCTGACGCCACCCCATCCGCCGTGCTGGGCCCCTTCTACCGTGCCGACGCCCCGGTGCTCCCCAACGGCTCCAGCATCGTTTCCACGGCCGGCACCTCGGCCGAGTGGGCCAAAGCCGCCGCCCAGTCACTGACTCACCTCTCAGGCCGTGTCCTGTCATCCACCACAGGCGAACCCATCGCCGACGCCCTCGTGGACGTCTGGGAGGCCGGACCCAACGGAATGTACGAGCAGCAGGACCCGGCGCAGCCGGACATGAACCTGCGGGGCCGGTTCCGGACCGACGCTCACGGCCGCTACTCGATGCTGTGCCTGCGGCCGACGGCGTACCCTATCCCGTCCGACGGGCCCGCGGGGCGGCTGCTGGAGCTGCTGGACCGCCACCCGTACCGCCCGGCGCACATCCACTTCATCGTCAGCAGGCCCGGGTTCCTACCCCTGACCACGCAGGTGTTCGACCGCGAGGACCGGCGCTGTGCCGACGATGCCGTGTTCGCCGTCAAGGAGGAGCTGCTGGTCGAGTTCAGGAGGCGGGAGGGGGAGGGGGATGGAGAGCCCAGGTGGGAGTTGCAGTATGATTTTTACTTGGGAGAGGCTTGAGGGTCGGCTGATGTCGCTGGGTGTTGCGAACACCTCACAGTGGTGTATATTAGCAATCGGCTGATGGATCGAGGAGCTTGATGTACCGAGTTGGGAAATTGCCGCAACTCAATATCTAGATGAAGACCTGACACTGATTTGGCCGATTCTGAGTAGGTTTGCCTTTTGATGCCGTGGTGGCACAGTGCCATTTCCCCAATACATGTAGTAAACTTATGTGAGGCAGTCAAAGGACCAGATTCTGGTTCCCAGGCCTTCCCTGTGTAGTTCAATCCAGGATTCAATGACAATACAAATATTCTAAATCGATGCATCCCTCGAATGGTTGTCACAGGTTGTATACAAACGGTTTTACATGGACGAGGGCTCCATTGCGACTAGCTCCATATATCAGTGACTGTTGCTGCCCGGGTTGAGTTGTCGATGGACAGACCACTCATTTCCCAAGCCTGGGCCGGCCAAGTCTCCGCGCCGCACCGCCGGTTTGAGAACGTTTGACATAACATGCTTTGATACCACCCAGCAGGCGTGTGCTACACTCATTGCCTAGCAACTAGTGACTCTCAAAATTCAGCTTTCTCATGAAGATTGAAGTCGATTTTCTTTGGACGCAATAACGATGAACATCTTAGTGCTAGGAGAATGGCGCGTACTGAATCAATGCCTGCCTGTTAATGACCGCTCTCAGCCAAAGTTCTGTGCTCTTTACCCCGTGACGTGCAGTGAAAATCCAGCTTCAGCACAATTTATGTCATATATCTTCGCCTCTCATCCGAGTATGGTCTCGACTTGTTCAGGATTTATTCCTAGTAGGCCTCCGTGCGACGCCCCTCGACGCCCACGGTGTCGACGGCCCTCCGCGACCGCCGCTGTTCCTGTTCATTTCTCCCTATCTCCGTACGTGATTGGTGAGGTGTTAGACGAGTCATGAAGGTGGGCGAGTAGTGCTCTAGTCCACCCATCGCTTTACAAAGCGTAAAGAAATGTACCCCCCGAACTGCCTCACATGCCGTCGAATACTATGCCTATCAGCTCGAGAAGCACGTCCTGGTCATTCCGACCAATTTTTCTGCCTACTGTGATGCCCTCCGTGAGCTTCGGGTTGGCCGTGAAGAATTCTCCGCACGACATCGTGAATGGAAACTGCAAGTTGGTCAGCCTCGCGATTTGAGTAAGGACACACCCGCCGGCCATCTTCTTTTCGGCAGAGGAAAACGGCGCATTGGACGAGGTAACGACAGCCGATCGAAGACTATTCATTCACAAATATGGTACCATACCAGTTGCCGACCAGCTTGGCGTGTTCCACTCGTCGGATATGCACGCTTGGCTTGGGGTTCCGTGGGAAGGACTGTATAAAGCTAGCCAGTCTGCTGTCAAATTGTGCCTCTTTCCCATCCAATGCAACTTATACCTCCCTTGCCAATAAGAATTGTTCCGTCTCACCTTTTCAATTAGTATCGTTTGATAATAACGCACGCGACTAAGGTCTGCCACCGCCCGAGCCAGCCCGTCATGTATCAGCGAAGGGCCACATGCCGTGTTAGAGAAGTGACATTCACAGTGACAGTCACGGCGTGCGCCTGACGTCAAAGGACGCTCCGTTTGGATGGCGCGCAGGCTAAGGCTGGCGATAACTTTGCCGCCGAGATCCACGCTCTGACCGCCAGTCGACTGCTCCCAGATCATCTCTGGGCAGTTCACGCTGTCTCGTTAGCGAGGCTAGATGTGTGATACGCAGAAAACTAGATGCCTTGTAGCTAGTTATTCCCTCTGTCTCTTTGCATTAGTCGTGATATGGTCCAATGTGACCGCAAAATCGGCCACCTTAGCCGGAGTCATAACCTCAATTTTATGGGGCGCCAGGTATCAGCCGACGGGAAGCTAATTTGCGGCGTCCCCGGTTGTCTCCTTGACGGAGATGCCAGATGTACAGGCGCATCATTGGGTCTTACCTCGACCTGCACCGCGCTTAAACACCTCGTCGACCGTCTCCTCGGTACCGAAGCGGACCTCGAGACTGAGTTAGGCGATCCAGGCGATGAGCTTCTCGGTCTCCTCGGAGCTGTTGATGGTGTAAGAAAGCTGACACGCGCCAGCATCCCGGTGGAAATCGTGGCATATAGACCGGTGTAGGCAATAGTCTTCCCACCCTCGTCTCTTACGCCCAAGTCCATACGAGCCTCTGGCTGACGCCCCTTTGTACGACACTAGCTCCACACCGCGCCTCGAAAGCTCAGGTGATAGCTAAAGAATTATCGCTATCAAACTCATGATCTCTTCCTTATTCTCGGCTTTTTCGTTCCAAGTAGACATCCGCTTTAATAAAGATAAATTACACAGGCTCTTTGTGAGTGCTCCTCTCCGACGAGCTGATACTGTGGTCGCACCCATTAAAGACACCCTTGTCGTTGGCTGGTTGGCAGACCAACCTATTTATGATATATAACCCATCATACAAGAGCTCAACTCAGACAGTGATACAATCATGTCCTTTAGCCATTAACGGCTAGCTCCCGAGAAGGCGCAGCCAAATACCATTAACGCCATGCCCAAAGATCCAGAAATACAGTCGACATGCCACACCTTAGTAATTTGCTATCAATATTAATATGTTATGGAAAGGGGTGATAGGATTGATAGTTGCTGCAAATGGTGGTTAATAAGACTAAAGATAATTATTTCAGTACATAAGTTGGTACGAACCCCACGGAGGATCACATGGATGCACTCTTCATCTTTAACACATCTCACATCGCACCCCCACAAGGATCGCATCACATACTATCAACTACAATTGTTGTGACGCAACGTGTTTAAACAGTACTGAAATGCGACACCAAGATTCGCGGCCAGTCTGTACACATCCCTACAAGGATCGAAGCGCCACTAGTTGCAAGAGCATTGCAATGGCAGCAGCTATCCACTGCACGAAATAACAACAGCGTTGAGACAGCTTGCACTTGGCCATGAGCCAGTAGGATTTACCAGCATACACAGCAGCTCTAATTGCGGATTAATGACAAGGTGAGCCATATAGCTGGGGAAGATAGGCTCCACTATGTATCTGTAGAATACAAGCCGTACCCCAATGTTACAATACCCACACAACCGCTCTGCAACTAAAGAGCCTACTTGGCCTTAAACGGAAGGCAATCCTATGGGACTCTTCCGGCTCTCGCTTGAAGTCTTCAATCATCCCTATAAACGGATTAGTACTGGTCAACCAGGCTTCCTCTCAGGACATGTCTGTGCGACAGCATGATTATCGAATACTTATCTCACTGGCGGTGGGGGTGCTGAATGGGAACGAGCCTCACTAAATTAGCAGGGGCTTTGAGGAGATGCACTGAACTGAACAACAACGATTCGCAATTGCAACGGTAGTATAATCCCCGACTTTAAAACGGAATTTTGCGAGGTACAATACAGCAATGCTAATTGTTCATTGTAATAAGAGAGCGCAACATTGCAACTCTTTTCTTCCCACTTGCATGGACACCTTGAGAGCAGAACGAGTTTCCAGGGGATCTGCAAGGTGGGGAAAGTTCGGAGTGCAAAGTTTTTACTAACTTAAGTACAGATTAACAGGCTTTTTCCAACAGCGAGTCATTCAGACTCGTCGCCAAATGTTGAATTGGCCCTTTTAGCTCAGTGGTAGAGCGCAGCACTTGTACTTCCTAGCACATGCTGAGGCCGATAGTTCGATCCTGTCAGGGGGCATTCACGCATTTCTTTTATCGGCCCATCATTTTACAATTTTTTTCTCGGGCTGTCTAGAGCCAATTTTGTCTCAAACACGGAACATGCTCGAGCTTCAGGATTGATATGTTATTGCGCTTTGTTCGTTCCCTGGAGAGGCCGTACACGCACGCCTTCAACTTTTGGTTGGCCTTGTCCCAGTTATCGGTACACCGTAAGCGATAGAATGAGAAGCCAGACCAAATGCGCAATGCGTTCAAATCTGGTAGTGGGCACATCTTCTGATCTTTTTGCTGAAATATTTTTTTTTCTTTTTTTTTTCTGATTTTATATGGCCGGTTTTGGTTTGGGCGCGGAATTGTTTCTTGCACCGCGAAACAACATCCAAATGATAACCACGGCCTTCTGTGAAGAAATAAGACTCTTTTGGAGTGTCCAACGACATGATTAGTCTCAAGGATCAAAGCAGATATGATAAGAGAAATAAAGACAAGTGGACAGACGACATGGTAGAGCATTGCCCTGCAGCAGGATTGAGAACCTTGCAAGACTTCGGAGGCGAATTCTGTTGAAGAGACACTCAACTACGTGCCATCGGTCCCTCGGACCCAAGGCAAGGGCAACGCATTTGTTTGTTCGACCTCATTCATGCCTGGTTGTGGAACGAACCCTCTTGCCGATGGAGATATGCGTGGGACCACTTTGTTACTGAATGGATCGTACAAGCCAAATGCATCTGCGACGGTGAGCAAAGGCAACATGCAATGCGACTACTCGCGTTGTCGCTTGTGTGGGCGGCGAGGTAGATCGACTTCGCACAAGGCCATCGGTCGGTTTCCACTATACGATGCCGGGCCCGGCCCGGACCCGACGTTGAAATAGACTGTAGATCCGGAGGGAAGGTACGGAAAGTAGGTCACATGATTTCGGTGCGCGACTGCCATTGCTCTTGCCATGAAGCGCATCTGATTGCGCGGTCCTGCGTTCGCGAGGAAGGAGCATCAGCGATTGTGGGACACTCGTCTTGGTCGCATCATCAGGCCCTGCGCATGTGAGAGGCTCGGAGCTCTGCGCCAGCTCAACCTACGGTCGCATCCAACTCTCATCCAGCAAACAAGTAGTGATCTAGCCTCAACAGCTCTATTGAATTAAAGGCACGTCACTCTGAGGGGATCGCTTTACATTGCTGCATAGCGCACCCGTGATAGCTACAGAAATGCTGCAGCTGCGCAACTTGGTAGACAACTCGCGCTGGCTAGCTTGAATCATTGACCTGGATCTGTTATGGGTTTATTCAAGTCGCAAATGCTCTCGCGGATATTGGCTAGTGGCTGGCCATGCCACATTAATTAGAATAACTCAATTCCATTAAGCAGTTCTGAGCACACTACTGCCAAGGTCTCTAGCTGAACCGATTCATTGCGAACAAGCAAGTGAAGAAGCAAGAGTCGGGTAGAGGCCGAGTGGCTACGAAATGTCTGCATTCTCCTGTATGAGTGGGCGGGTGCTAGTGAAGATAGCCATGTAGTCGGCCTGCAGGTAACTGCTAGTCTCATTGGTAGTACGCCGATGAAATGCGAATTTATGCATATTCCGCACAATGCATGAGGTCCCGGGCGTGAATACCCTAGCAAACGTCCAAGTTCGAGTCTGTTCTACACATACTGCTTGGGATGTAGTGTGGAGGAAGTCTGCAATCTAGTTCGCGATAGAAATCGGGTGCATGCTAGGTTTCTGAGGTAGAAATGCTCTCGAAAGATTGGTGAGCCGCCAGTGGTCAAATGCGCCGAAATAAGAAGCCAGGCCAAATGCGCAACGCGAAATGTGTACGCATTGCACTTTGCTGCTAGTCGAGTCTTAGCCTGGACCATGGCCATGAACATCAAGACGTTGCGCCTCAGAGCTTTCATCAGTGCGTGCTCATAGAGCAATCCAATCTGTCCGTACTTGCTGATTGAATGGCACATTCTGCTGGTTTCAAGGTCGGGCTATCTCGATATGCCAAACCTATAGGTTAGTCAAGTATTACAAGCTGTCAAAGAGGCGGACAGACATTGAGCCCCAAATGACAAACTGCCGAACGGCCTCGGAGGCCATTAAGCGTGTGAAGTTTACATTACTAAATTGCAAGCGAGGAGCAAGGCGGTCAAGGCCGTCGCAAAGAATGGGGCCACAGATCGACAGGGACCTCGTGAAAGAACGATAGACTTCCGTAGGGCTGAAACACTACTGATGACGTTTTCGCCTGGCATTGATTCTATTGAGATTGATTGGCGCGGGTGATTGGTAGCTTTCCCACGCATGGCATTAGCGAGAGAGAGGACAAGAAAGCGTCGGGTGGAGGATAATGATAATGGCCAACTGCTCATCCAAGAATGCCGCACAGCTGGGCGAGCGTGATGGATGCGAGCAGATGAGCTACCATCGGACAATTATTCATAACGGTTTGACAACCCGAATCGGACCCTCGTGCTACTCCTCACGCCGTCACCTTGTCCAAGCTGAAGGAGGCCAGGCACTGCAAGGTTCCGTTGCGACGGGGGGCCCTAATCTTGGCCGAGCGGGTGTGAAATCTGGGGTAGAGCTAAATGGCCTGGATGGATCGGTGGCTGCGGCTGATTAAGCAAGGCGTCCCGGGGCCCTAGCCGCTTTCGGCGGGGAGAGGCGTCGGGCAGGGGGCTGCCAGATGCGGCTTAGCGCGCTCCTCGCTCCACCCCGTCCAACTTCACGCGCGTTCTGGCTGTTTTTCGCCGACGACGTCTGGACATCCCCTCATCGATCTGATCACTGTTTGCCGCGATCACAGAGTCACAGACGCGTGGACGAGCTCGGCGATCTGCTGGAAGACGTGAAGCAACTCCTCATGCCGTCCTCCCGATGCCTGCTCAGCCACATCAGCCGCACCTGGAGCACCCACGTCCCCTGGATGCGACGCGCTGATTAGGACAAGAATCATCCAACCGACCCCGAAAGCATCACGTCTTTCACAAAAATGGCGCCGAGCCCGAGAACGCCGCGTTCCGTCACCAGTAATGGTCGGCCGAGCCGGCAGAAGGCGTCGCTGCTGGCGACCAACTCACGGCGGCGCGAAAGGGATGCCACTGCGGCTGCTACTGAGCCGCCCCCGAAGCGACGACGATATGTTCCGGGCGGTCCTGGCGGGGGTGGTCGATTTATAGATAAGGACGGAAACGAAATCCCCGGCGGCCGACCCAGCCCAGCAAGCGCAACCGCCGCCCGCCCGAGAGCGCGACAGAGCATCTCCTCCACCACCGCCCCGTCGCCCATCTACCCACGACGCGAGCGCAGCACCCGCATCCGAACTGCGACACGAATCGATCCGGACGACGAGATGCAGATCAGTTCCGCAGCTGCCGTGGCTGCGGCTGTGGTACAGAGCGAGGGCTACAAGCCCAGAGAGGAACGAGGCTGGGAGGAGTTCCACCCGAATCTAGACATCGATGCCACCTTCATGGTCTTCCACGCGGATGACGTTGATGGCACGGCAAAATCGGCGCCTGGGACCCCGTCTGGGCTCCTCACAGGCGCGGATCCTTACAAGGCCGGGAGTCCGATGAAGGACGCGATTGGCGCATCTGGAAGCGCTGCAAACACCCCTACAGTCCCGGCCAACGGCTCCGCTTCAAACATGGAGCTCGCCATGACAACGCCGCGACGGCGCTCCAACCGACCGAGGGACTCATACTTCCCATATCGCAACGACTTTGGGGCCACCCCGAAGACACCAAAGGTGCTGCCGATATATAACCAGACTCCCAAGGAGCGCCTGGATCTCAAGCAACCCCAGTACCGCAAGACCGACCGTATCCTCCTTTTCGAGAGCAAGAAGTTCGGACAGGCCAAGTATGTCGACAAGGCAATGATGAACGTCGGCTACCAAGAAAGCGACAACTTCATTCGACCGGACGACAAGCTGATCAAGGCAACCGATGCCAATGTCGAGGATGAGGCGGACAGTGCCATACCAGGCAAAGCGGATGGCGAGTCCAGCTCGCATACCCATGCCTTGGGCCGGGTCGAGTATGATATGGACGAGCAAGACGACATGTGGCTGGAGGCATACAATGAGCAGCGAAAGTCACAAGGCTGGAGCGCGGTTACTCGCGAGCATTTTGAGATCACCATGACCAAGATTGAGAAGGAGTGGCATGCCCTAGAGAAGAGAATCCCGAAGCCCAACCCGAAACCACCACAGACACATCGCCCCCGTTCCAGCTCCGCTGCGGCCGTTAATGGAGAGCCGCAGGCAGGTGAAGAGCAAGATAGTAAATGTGCTATTTGCGATGATGGAGACTGTGAGAACACAAACGCCATTGTCTTTTGCGACGGTTGTGATCTGGCAGTACACCAGGAGTGCTATGGCGTGCCGTTCATTCCCGAGGGTCAATGGCTTTGTCGGAAATGTCAGCTTATTGGGCGAGGCGTTCCGGTTAGTTTTCTGCATTTCTGTCCCACGTCGTTTCCTGGTGCTAATTATACTACAGACTTGCATATTCTGCCCCAATTCAGATGGGGCTTTCAAGCAGACTAACTCGTCAAAATGGGCCCATTTGCTCTGTGCAATGTGGATTCCCGAAGTCACCCTTGGGAACCACACTTTCATGGAGCCAGTTATGGATGTGGATAAGGTTCCCAAAAGTCGTTGGAAGCTAACATGCTACATTTGCCAGCAGCAGATGGGCGCCTGCATTCAGTGTGGTAACAAATCTTGCTACCAGGCATTCCATGTCACCTGCGCACGTCGAGCAAAGCTATTTCTGCGAATGAAAAACAGCTCCGGCGCTCTTGATGTTCTAGACGGAAGCACAAATCTGAAGGCACTCTGCGACAAGCACTGTCCCTCAGAGTACGCCAAGGAGAATGGTGTGTCACGCGCCACCAAGCGCGCCAAGAAGTTCTATCGAAAGACTATGCGAGATCGCATCTGGGCCAACAGCCAAGCATCTGCCCTCGCCATTGCTGCATCCCATCGAAACGCCCTTACAGAGCACCCGCCTGATGAGTCGCAGATGACGGGAGCGAAGCTCTCTGCAGTCCTTGGCGATCCAAAGAAGGGTCAGGCTGGAAAGCCCATCTGGAAACTCCCGTCCGGTGCACCGGTCATTCCGCAGGCTGTGTTTGACACCGTCGACTCGTCGCTGCAACGATTCTCCATTCTCAAGCGGAAAGAGTTTGTGAGCGATGCCTGCCGCTACTGGACACTGAAGCGCGAGATGCGACGAGGCGCTGCTTTGCTTAAGCGACTCCAGCTTCAGATGGAAACATTCTCCTCTATGGAGCTGACTCGACGCAATTTTGCAGCTATGGGACCCTCCGGAAAGACGCGCTTGGCCAGACGCATTGAATTCGCCGAGACCCTCATCAAAGATCTTGAGCAGCTTCAGGCCATGTCCCAGGAGGTAGTCAGACGAGAAGAAATGAAGCTAGAGAACGCCAGGTTGGAACAAGCCTTTGTTGACACATGCTATTTCCCGATTTACAAAACTCTACCACAAATTGTAATCAAGGCTTTGCAGTAAGTACCCATCGATCTAGTTGATAGAATACGCTGACACATCCTAGATTGAATAATATGAAGAATGTATTCCAAGAGGGGCTGCTCAAGTTACAGCTGAAGGTCGAGGCAAGGTACTACGTGACGGTACTCACGTTTGCCCAGGGTCTTTGTGACGTGATCCATACGGGTGTCAACTCTGAATGGAAGGCTCCGCCACAAGCACAGCCGAAGTTCGATAGTGTCGTCGCCCCAATCACCAAAACTGACTATTCCGATATCCGGGAACGCAAAAAGCTTGGGAAGCGAATCATCAAGATGGCCCAGCCTCTGCTGGAGGCAGCCCTTCGTCTCGAGTCAGAAGTTACGCACAAGTCATTTGACAACCTCAAGCAAGAGCTTGAAGGTATGGTTGAGGCTAGTTTTGAGCTTCAACACAATGTGATCGTGGCCTCATCTGATGCCGACCAAAGCAAGGATGTTATCATGGTTGATTCTTCCAACGCTGAGATCACTGTTGCTGATCCCTCGAATCAAGATGACGCTCTTGATGATGAAGAGCAGGCGGATGTTATTATGGCAGGAGACGATGGGCATGCCAAAGACGGCGGCAGCATTGAAGTTGACACATCAAATGTCGGTGACAACACGAGTGTCGACGACAAGCCATTGCACAAAGAACCGGCAGACACGGAGATGCTTAACATAACCGACAACTCAGCCGATTTGGCAAACAGCAATTCCGTGGATACACCACCTGCCACTAACGGATACGTGGCTGCGCCGCAAGTATCCCAACCCGTGCCACCTACCCCTCCTCAATCTACTGGAAGTCTGGGGAAGGAGCAGATCAACCCACTCACAGATGGCGGTCTTGCTTGGTATCTCAAGGGGTTTGAGCCCGAGGGAACCTCCGCCGTCACCGAACCGGTACCTACGGACGCAGATCCGGATTTCAGTGAGGAGTTGACCGAGATGGATGAAGACGAACTCAAGGGGCTCGGTGTCGACATCCAGGACACCGAAGTCGCCACGTCGCCCATGAGTACGGCTGCTGCAGAGGCAACTGTCGCCGTCTCCCCGGCCAAGAAGCCAGCCAAGAGTAAGAAGCGTAAGGCGACGACTTACCGAGGAAGGAGATGAAGTGTGCTTTGGTATCGATATATGTATTACTAGTGGAGGATAACGGGTTCTTCAGAGAGGTATTGGTCCGTCTCTGAGAGTAGACGGCTTTGTCCTCTGCGTGTGGTTCAAGGAGTTCAGAGGGGGTTCCGCGAAGCAATGAGGGTTTCTGCCGATACCCCAAGTGCGGCGTTTTTCGGGAGTACATGATTCTACGAGGCAAGACTTTTGAGAGATTCCCAGCTAGGGATGTTCGTTTTGTGATAATAAATATCTTGATGCGGATTCCGTCGAGCGTTGCTATGTGATATGATTCAAATTCGAAGTCTACTTCTATGAATCCTTCCTAACAAGACGTCCGCTGTGCAGGTTGTCCGTCCTATGCTGCGTTGTCCCTGTCTAACTTGGGACCCTTCTCACTTCAACCAGATCCTCGATGTCTAGAATCAGCGTTGACTTCAAAGCGACAAGCCTGACGGCCAGGGCAGGCAGCGGCAGACAGGTCTACCAGGCCGGCCAGGCTGTCAGGGACTATCACGTAGCTAGATCGTGGTTTAATGCAAGACCTGGTCCTATCGTCGCCAGTCCAATGAGAGGGAGGGTTCTTTTGGCGTTGGTTAGATTCGATACTTCGGTGTTTGGCAGCATGCGAAGCAAGGGATGAATGGATGATGTGACCAGCCCCAGCGGCTGCAACCATCGTACAAAAGCCATGTCGATCCAACAATGTCACAGCATCTGGCTTCCACCCCAATCTCCAGGCCATCCCCCCTTCCTTCTTCAAGATCCACTGCGGCTTATAGACGTCCCTCGGCCAGCTTACCAGTCTGAATTAAAGCTAAGAAATGACACAACAACCAAGTCTTAGTGGTGTATGTGTGAGAATTCAATCCCGATGGACAATTTGTAGTCCTTGGGGCCCTCAGAGCTCTAATAGATTAACAGTGCAATGCCCTCATTGCCTCGTTAGGGGCCGACAAGGTCGCGCTTCCCGGAACTGACGCCTACAACGCGTCACTCGCATCCTATTTCTCGCTGCAGGTAGCTGCCGTCCAGCCGCTCTGTTTCGTGGCCCCCAAAACGGCCGCCGATGTGTCGGCGGTGCTTGGAGTCGTCGCAGCGAATCCTGCTGACGGCCTCCACGACTTCGCTATCCGGTCTGGGGGCCACATGTGCTTCCCCGGTGCGTCCAACGAGCCGGGGGGAGTGACGGTAGACTTGCGAGGTCTTGACTCGATCGATCTAAGTCAAGATAGATCGATCGTATCCGTCGGCCCTGGCTCAACTTGGGATGCGGTTCATGCCAAACTCGATCCCCTTGGGCTCAGTGTCACCGGGGGCCGAGTCGCCGGCGTTGGTGTTGGAGGGTTGACCCTGGGAGGTGGCATCTCTTTCTTTGGACCTCGCTATGGTTGGACCTGCGATACTGTAACTGCGTTCGAAGTTGTCCTAGCAGACGGCTCTATCGTAGAAGCAAATGAGAGTGTTAATCAGGATCTACTCCAGGGGCTACGGGGCGGGTCGAATAATTTTGGCGTTGTCACACGCATCGACCTCGCAACCTTCGATCAGGGTCCAGTATGGTCCGCTAGCCTTTACAATCCCGTCTCTACGATAGATGACGTGGCCAGGATTGTTACCAACCTTGTGGCGCCAGCCAACTACGACGAGAATGCCTCGTTCATTGTCGGATTTGGGTATTCACAAACCGGAGGTCTGACGGTCATCAACAACCAGCTTGTCTACACGAAGCCAGTCGAGGATCCACCATACTACCAAGAATTGCTGAACCTGCCATCGATTATGAAGACATCGTCAATCGTTGACATGACGACACTTTCGCGGCAGCAGGCACAATTGCTTCCTCCAGGAGCGGCTCGGTGAGCAGGCCCCTCTTTGTGCGGCACATCGAGTCTTTACTAATCCCTAATAGTTATATGTATGGGACAGTCACCATCCTCGCCACCGAGCCCATGATCCGCGCCACCTTCGACGCCTGGAACAGCAGCCTGGAAGGCGTCAAGGACATCAGCGGCCTGACCTGGGCATTATCGCTGGACTCGGTGCCGCCAAGCATGTCGCAGCGCGGCGCAGGAACCAACGCTCTGGGGCTTGCCGATTGGAAGGAGTCACGCATCGTGTGCCTGTTATCACAGGCGTGGGCGGACCAGGCCGACGACGAGCGCGTCTACGCCGCGTCTGCGGCACTGATCACGGCCATCGAAGACGCGGCGCGGAAGCTCGACGCCTATGATCCCTTCCTTTACCTCAACTATGCCGCCAAGTGGCAGGACCCGATTGCCAGTTACGGAGAGGCGAGCGTGCAGCAGCTGCGCGAGGTGAGGGGAAGGGTGGATCCCAAGGGGGTGTTCACGAAGCTCGTCTCGGGCGGGTTCAAGATCCCGTCTTAAACAAAAGGGCTATGGTGTTTGCTATTTACACGTGTCGACTTGGGATCAATGGGTCTTGTGCTTGGAATCAAGTGAAAAAGCACCGAGAGAAATCCTAGATCGGGCTCCGTCTGGATTCAAGTGCCAGTCTCATGATAAAATGTATTGGAACTGGAAAGGGTCACGGACTCATCACTCAAGGTGCAAGTTAGCTTCAATTTCGAGAAGAAGTCGTCTGTTAAACTCCCAAACAATCCACACTCCTTCAACCCCCATCTCTTTTTCTTTGCTACGTATGATAAAAGAGTTTCCGTGCCCTGAATAAGGGCTCTGACCCGTGTTTGAGCGCATGTATCAGCGGAAGACAACGGATTTGAAGTCTCCCTTCTCCATGCATGCTCCACCACGGAGTCCAATCTTGCCTACACCGTTACATCCGATATCCTTGCTTGCTGCCCCAAGAACTTGTCAGTATTTTGTAATAAGAGAATAAGCAGTGGGAGTTACCTTCGGAAAAAATGAAACCGGCGGTGTTGTCAAAGAAGGCATCAGTCTGCTTATCGAGATCATAGCAGTTACCAGAGCTATGAGCGGCATGAAACAGGATTCTTTTATCATGAAGACTGCAACACTATTTAGAAGTTGTCCCATATAATGCAATCACTCTTACCAGTCGTCCATGGTGCGGTACTGGTTCAACTTGGGCTTGTCTCTAGCAAGCAAGCTGTGGCCATCGCTCGGGTCAGATGGGAGAGCCAGTGCACAGGGGAGGTTCAAGGCCGCAGCAATGATGAAGAACTTCATGACTGATGTCTTTGAATATTGGTGTAGTGGTATTGGACTGTTTGAGAGTGATGTGTTTGGTGGAAGGTAGGAAAGTGAGCTACAGGATGTGGTCTTTATACTTGCCCGTCCTCGAATTAGCCTGGTGGCTTGTCCCTATTTTTGGGGATCTTGGTTGCCGCTCACAATACATGGCCTTGGTGAAACAGGCGATCATTGCCATATGGGAGCCCATAACGGGAAGAATAGCCAATTGAGCTGCGGATTCGGATGTAGGTCTCCCATCCTGGCTGGGTCCAAGTTCGCAGGTAGGCTTAGGAGTGAGAAACAACCTCATGTCCTTCAGCTACGGAATCGGATCCGCGATCTTCTGCCGAATAACTTCAATTCATATCCCAGGCTGCAAGACAAAGGCGTAGATCTTAATTCTTCTCACCAATTTTTGCCGCCAAGGTCTAGGTATATAATCTTACAGTATACCCTGATACGGTGATACAGACGAGCCTGGGATGAACAGGAACCGCACCTGGGAATGCTGATTTACCTAATTATCTGGTCACAGCAGGTAAATATCTTCAATAACGCGGGGCGTTAGCTACATCTGAATCCCGTTCAGACTATAAGTGGAGCCACTATGTAGGCACAAAGCTTACAGAGCATGGTACAGACGAGCTGTGGAACGTCAATCTTGTTAGGCCTACAGTGGAAGGAACAAAGATCTAAGTCACTTCGAATCCCGATTGACCACCACAACTACTATAATTGCGTTCAACGTCGTCATGCGGTAGTCAATTGCTTGAGTCCTGGCTGGCGCTGCCATTGTGCCCGGATGCTTCCACTGCATATAAAGAGCCGAGCAACATGTGTTTCGCAAACTTCTCGTCTCAGTTCATTCAGCTTTCAGTTCGTCACCCTTCAGTCCAAAACCAATCCAAACTCAACATTTGCAAAGACTACAGCATCCCCAATTCCAAAATGAAGTTCTTTCTGATCACCGCCGCCCTTGCCATTCCGACCCTGGCCATACCATAGCCAGTGCCTGAAGATGCTGCCTTGAACGCCAGAGCGGGAGTCAAGCTGAACCAATGCCGTAGCCTGGAAGACTGGCAAGTATATGCAATTCGACTCGAGAAATTACTACGTCTTACTCAGGCGCTCTAGTGAACACGACAGAAACATCCTGTTCCACGCTGCACCTGTTTCCGGAAAGTGCTACGAGCTCGATGACCAGACGGGTGCCTTCTTTCATAACACAGGAGGCTTCTTGCAGTCGTACTGTGAGTATATGCCAACTCATCTAAAGACGGAGCATCGGCTAACACATACACCTACATAGCATACGACAACCATTGATGCGATGGCGCTCCTCACAAGTTCGAGCGCTACATCGGTCGCTACGTCGAGAGGGGAAGCCAGAACTCGGTCAAGTTCCCCTAATCATCTTCGTCAATTTTAGAGAGTGGTGGCACTTTTAATGGGAGCAGCACTATAAAGCAGGAACCGACACGCCTCCGGACCTTGAGCAATTCAACCCCATTTCCTGTGCATGAACCCCTTGCCGATGCCACGTCTATGAAGCTGCGCATGCGGACTATGTCTTGCAGTTCGATCGCAAAGAGGTGTTATGTGACGACCAAACATGTGACATATAACGTGTTTCTTTCGTCTCGCCAACAAAGACGCGAGGGAGACTCTCGTATTAGACGGTCACTCTTCATCAGCTGGTGGTCAACTAATTAAATGTGTTCGGTGCAAAGTCATTCTTGGGTTGCTGCAGAAGAGGAGAGTGCTTAAACGCTGCTGAATCTTCGCAATTAAACGTCTAGGAAGTGTCATGGATTGGTTGGCGCAGGTGATTGCTGTGGTGTGGTATGAGGGACTCCCCACCTGGAAATAGCAAACGCCACAGCTGTGGAGGGAGCTCTTCTTTCCCCTCCTCCCCAGCTTTAGACTTTTCGCAGCACTACAGGTTTTGCAGCAGGTTCTCGGTTCACCTGTGGTGGCGTGACGAAATTTATAGCCCTTTGTTCTCTTCACTTATCAGTATTAGACTCCGCAAGCTCCAAGTCCCTTACGGACTGGTCCTGTTTCTTCCCAAAGTTTGAGCAGCTCTATCAGAGCAAGGAAGTCGAGCTAGAGGGAAAAGGGTGCGAAGGCATCTACGCAGCGGACGCACAGTGGTAGGTGTTCTCGGGCTATGATTTACTGTCCGAACTGCGGCGACTACATTTACCTCGACCTGAAAGGGAGCACAGGGAGATCAGAAACCTAGCCACGATTGATGGACCTTTCAGATTTCATGATCATGCAATGGATAGGTGTATATTGAACAGGACCCAGAGAACTTAACTAGCGATGTGCAGTATACTGGTCGATGTCGACTGGGCGAAACGAGCACTCAGCTTGTCAATGCTTGCGACTTTCGACGGACATGTACTGCTAAAATCAACAAAACAACATGGCACAGTGCCATCGACGCGTCTGAAAGAAAAATACCCCTCCACTCTTGCAATACTGGCAAGCCGTACTGCCTCTCCAATTGTGATGTGTCTATTGGCACCCACCCCCCTTGCAATGCTTGCATGCCGTAATGGCGTTCCAGTGGCCACCTTGGCATTGAATCTATTATGAATGAATTAGTTCCACGGATCTAACAAGGTCAAGTAGACAACTAGGAGCAGTAGGCATTATACTTACGACATGGTTATTATCTCCACATCTGGTAATACCTACGCAATCCCCAGAGCAATCGGAACCTGTTTTGTAAGGTCCATTTGCGCAGCCCGCAACGGCAGTGCCGGCGAGAAAGAGTGTAGCAAAGACGGCGAAGAGCTTCATGATTGTTGGTGTTTGAGCTTGATGCTTTGGAAGTTTGGATTGTGTGGTGAAGTTTTGAGAGTAGTTGGAGGTTGTTGGTTGGGATATCAAGTTTCTGAAATAGTGAGGATTGTCTGCTCTTTTATATTCATTTATCTTGACTACCCTGCGCTGATATTGGAAGCTTTGTCCTCAGTGTCACGGATCGTCTTGGAATAATGGACGCAGTCGGGACCACTCGACCGACAGCTTCGGTGCCGGCGCAAGCACCTACGACGCGAAGTCACGAATCAAAGACATGTATAAGCGGGGATCACAAACATCTAGGATGTTGTCAAGCATTGGATCCTGTACTTCAGGGTATGCAATCCTGCTGCACTGTGTTTGCGGCCGCTAGTAAAGACTCGTTCCAATACGGACTGATGATCGATCCCGCTAGACCTTGGCTACGGGGCTAGCTGATAAGCTGCCATTGACTTCTATACCTGGAGTTATCATTTCACCACTATGCGTATCGATGATCGGGCTATCACATAACGATCACAAGGCCTGTTCCCACGGCAGTCAATACATTTATCTTGAGAAGTCACAGGAGTGATAACCTTCCCGAAGACACAAGCATAAATATATGTTACTATTGGAATATGGCATGCTCCTTCTCTTCCTAGCTACTAAAACTTTTTGACGAGAGATTTATGGAGCCAAAGGGGTATACCTAGATAGCCCTATACCTGCAGCTGTACAAACTGACCGCTCTAGAACGACCACGATATAACCGCATTGTGGATTCGCACGCAAATATGCAGGAAGTGGACTTAAGCGAAGCAGTGGCTCAGCCAGAAAGTGGGAACCACGGTTTGGGCTACCGTAAAGGCACGAAGGGCAATTCGATAATGTTATTGAGCACAATGATCGCCCTTTTCTCCCAATTTTCGGTGCCGAGCGTGCGGCTCAAAAACGGTGACATAGGCCAAATGCCTGATCTCATTTCGGTGATCTATCCGCTTGCGGGAGATGGCAGGAGCCCTAGTATACAATTGGGGTCTGAGCCCTAGTATACATTTGGGGCCCGGATCGACATCCGGAGGATGCATAGAGCTAGACGTACCGTCGTGCCTCCGGGACCGAATCGACTTCTTCAACGTCCAGGAGAGTGACATGCTCCCAGAGAGCAGAAGGGTGGACCTTGTGATTGAAAAATTTGCACCAAAAGGTGATCTCATTGGCAGTCAAGGCGCTTGCGAGTGGGAATATTCGAGGGGGCTTCAGCCAGTAATAGAATTTTTAACAACCTTGTTATATCCTTATACACCCTATTACACGCCGCCGGGGCTGTGCTTCCAGCTCAGAATGAAATTCACGATATTTGCGGTATTTAGGTAGACTGCTGAATTGTCTATTCCAATTGTACAACCTTACCCGGTCGGTGCCGACTCAAACCATAACGCACTTAGGTAAGCCTAGTTGATATACTTTTAGCGTACTAAATCGAAATAGAAAAGAAGGACAATTTCGCACCAATTAAATGTAGGTGGTCGACCAATCGGAAACGCAGGTTTGGCCACCCATGTCGAAAAGTTATGCTTAGAATTATGCTTAGAATCCTTTTTCTCATTCCTTTGCAAGCTCAGTTAACGAAAATGTATATTGCGACGAGAGCACACCACAGAGATTGTGAGCATACCATGGCTTATAGAAAAGAACTTCAAACCTTCTGTCTTGATTTGCGCAAACCATGTGGTAATCCTGATCCTGCACGGAGCAGGGTGAGGCTCACTAGGGAGAACTCTTGCCCCATACCGCGAAAATTGATGAGCGAGGATCACGAGCGGGTCTCGGTCATGGCGGGCTCGGGCGGCTCGGTCGCCACTCACTCCGACTGGTCATGCTTGCCGGTTTCTATCAAGAGCGCAGGGGCGGACAAGATCCATGGTGTGAATGCTGCCCTCCAGGGTGCTTAGCGTTAATGCATGCAGAGACTTGAAATGAGCTATTCCCTACTCGACGCTCCCATGGTATTGAAAGTCAGTGCCCACATGGTCGGCAAAACCAAGCGGAATGTCAAGCCCCATCACTGACATCATTAACGAAAATAAACACTCATTACTTTACTACGAGGCACGAGTGCACCGAAGTTCTAGACTGCCTGATTAGTAAACGCAGGCGAATACCCGGACTTGAGGTCCTTGCACGATGCTGCGCTCTTGTACCAGCCTATCTCGATTATTCCTTGAACCTTTCGGTATTGTTTGATGAACTGCTTAGCTTGGTACGGACGAGCCAAAATTGCAATGTTGTGGGACCCATTATTGCACACAGGTATTAGCTATACACCTTGAAGCACTTGCTCGTTTATGATTATTCCTATCAAAATTGTGCGGGTTTGGAAATTTCTTCTGTTGTAGTATTGACATAGAGCTAGTCAGTACTTCAACTTTGTCATAGAGCTATTAACCTGAAAACTTAAATCCGGGAATTGTTTCGACGCCTCAGCAGGCTCCTAAAGTGGGGTGATAGTTTTTGAGCCTGTTGCGAATATCTACTGTGTACTGAGGTCCTACAGTATTGAATTTCGATATCGTGGAAAATCTACGTGGAAGCAATCTGCGAACCGAGCAATACCGGAACCGCCTTTGGCGTTGCTTGAATATCTGTGTCTGGATCCCTACCGGCGTATCTGTGGTTACTATTATCGTAGGGCTTCAATGCCTTGAAAGTGAATTCGGATTTCTCGTAGGCAGTCTCGCTTAGGTACGGTTGCGAGGTTATTTATATAATAACAATACTTAATATGGACTGGCTGAAGCAAGTGGTTGCTGTGGAGGTGTACGAGCGGCGAGCGGTGGTCCTCCCCAGGTGTAACGCATAATAAAAGCCACAGCTGTGGAGGAAGCTCTTCGTTCCTATCTTTCCTTTCCAGCTTTACATTTTCGTAATATCACAGGATTTGCATCGGAGCCTCAATTCACCTATGGTACCGTGACAACGACCATTCCTGCTGCCCTGCACATTTTATTCCTGCATATTCTCTTCCTATGCCTCTACGTGGACTTCGCCGGGCAGAGTTCGACAATACTGCGTAATCCTTTCCTCTGACCACCCATTTGGCCTCCTGTGATAGCCTAAACTTACAAATGTCCCGGGACCGGCGTGAGGACGGTCAAACCCAGGCTCGAACGCGTCTCTATACCGGCCAATACCTAATGGTGGCAGGTTAGGGTTTAGCCGTGATCAGTCGTCTAGAAAAGGGTTGATTCCACTGTGGTACATGAACCGGCCGACCGCCTTTTCGATCCAGACGGATCTTCCTGGATGCCAATACAGGCGCGATATGTTGACGGTAATCCGCGGACGGTGTGTGCGATCCTGCCAGCACAAAGTATCTCGCATCTGATCAAGTAGAGATCTGAAATTACACTGGGTGAATTGCAAGAAGCCAAGCTCCATGGTACGTAAAGAGACCGGTAAGGCGGCGAGGATTGTTAATAGATCGTCCTGGTTGACGAGGAAGCGCACCAAACCAAAACGCTGTAAACGTGATAGGCTTTCCAGCGGGAAAATCTTTTGGAGAGGAACATAACAGTCTTCGCGATGGTCATAAGGAATTTCTGGAATATTCGTCCTGATACTGATGTACTCTAGGCCTAGGCCACCCCTGCTCCAGCAATAGCGCACCCGAGATGGCCGTTCTGTAGTACTACGGCGAAATTAGCGTGATCCCACGGCCTTCTGACGAGAAGATCGATGTGAAGGTGACGGAAAGTGGGATGTGTAAGTAGCGCTTTGAAGCTCTTATAATACTGATTGGGTTTCTCGAAGAGTCTGATGTTCAAGCCTGTCTCGAGCTCGTGCGCATCGATGCAAAGTTCCGTGACCTTGTGTGCCGTATTGTGTGTCAAGGCGTCTACAATGGACCGGAAACCTGGCCAGTCCTTGCCGGTAGCGTCCTATTCAGTTGCGTACGGTGGCATGTCTTCAGGGTGTTTGGGGCATGGCCAACCCCGCGGAACAGGGTAGTCAAAGCCTTCGGAGAATGCGCGAATCATTGGAGTGTTGTAAAACGGATTGAGAGGCATTCTGTAAGTGGCAGGTGCAATAGTTATCCTTCTAAGCAATGGAAATCGACCGAGGCCAAGTTCCAAGGCCTGTACGTGGGCCGCAGAGCGGAGGACTTCACGTTCCTGCTGGACCAGCCTTTGGTAGTACTCCCAGGACTGCTCTACAGGTAGAAGCGCCACTGTTTTTTGTGCCATCCACATATAAAATGGCCGCTCAACGTCTTCTCGTTTAGCGTCCTCAATTTCCTCTAGGTGATTCTCGCAGGCACTCATAAACCATCTCGGACAACCCGACTCGGAATCCGATGCATTGTCGCTTGAAACATCACTGACGCTGTCTTGTTCCTCGTCCTCAGTTTGCGGGTGTAGTTTGGCTCCAGTCAGAAGCGCGTCGTCCCATATGATCTCAGTGAACTGTGTGCGATAGCTTTCGTGATGTGCTACTGCGAGTTAGACGCTCACATTTCGCGGATTGGCAGACAAGAAGACACGCTGTAGACGCATAACCGTGCTCTTACTCAGGGACCTGCAAGTCAATCGTAGGCTCTTTATGTCGCTGTTGGGCAGGTACCCAGTTATCTGGCGGATGATTTCGACTGGAAGGCGGATAAAAGGGGTCGCTGTGTTTTCAGGTGAGATGAGCTGACTCGAGGAGTGCAATGCAGCCATTCTGACAAGGGACGGGAGATGGCCTTTTGAAGCTTGCCTCGTGAGGGTGTGCATACAGAATGGTAGGTGGGAATGGAAAGGTGCACTGCTATCCATGGATCGCAAAGCCCGGCCACCACTGCAGGGTGGAAACCTTTCCACTTGGGTCACTAGACTACACAGTAGTTCTCCGTATCGACTCAGGCTCTGCGTACTATGTACCCTGGGCGCCGATCCCTACTCAATCCTGCGTACACGAAGTTTATACTACCAGAACCGGTACCGAGTACGTAGAATTAAATCATAACGATATGGACCTCATAAGGCACGCGCTTTATAACAAATGAGGGTAAATGAAGGGTTCAAAGCCTTTTTTTTTTTTCTTTTCTCCTTTTTCTTTTCTTGGCTTAATAGCAAAAGCCGTTAATTGTCACGGCACCACTGGTGGTGTATTGAGGCTCTGCTGCAAATCCTGCAATTTTGCGAAAATCAAAAGCGGAAGACGAAAAGAAAGAAGAGTTCCCTCCACAGCTCTCGCGTTTACTATCTACCCATGGGGCGGGCCGTACGGATATAGCGAATGGGGCCTGTAGTCCACAGAGTAATACCAACACTGGACCAGCAAGCCACATGGTGTTACTGCATAAACTGTGGGTAGGGGAGCGCTGCAGCGTTGTTCCAGGCGAGAATGTGTCTGGCGAATCATAAGCAAAGGGGTTGGCGGCAATGCGTTGCTGGCGCTTAATTTCCACGTTCATTTAGCGCCTCGGCCCTATGGCGGCTACTCCGTTGCTCATTGAATCTTGACAGACTCAACAATAAGGACGGTATTCCATACAAGTAAGGCAGCATCAGATCAGCTTTTCAACGCTTCCAAGGCCGACGACACTGTTAGTGTCAACAAGGTCTCTTTAGACACGTTGGATGAAGCACACCGCAAACCCGTCGTAAAAGCCATCCTAAACATACTCTCTACCGAGCTCGCTGAGAGCACGTATTGCCAGATCGTCGACGGCTTGCCTCTTGCAGTTGTCTACGATGAGGCCTACTGTGATTCCCTTCTAGATGCAAAACACCCGGCCTATCAACACGAGAGCCTCTGCCCTGGAGTTGTCGGAGAAGCAAGAGACTTGTATTCCGAGTTTGCTCCTGCTCTATTGCAATTCGAGATATCCGCAAGCCTCTCCCAACTTGCAAGACCAAGTCGTATAACTAACCGATGCTATCAGGTCCTGTCAAGATACAAGGCTGCCTCACCAGGCTCCCAGCTGTTCAATACTCTTCTAGTAGAAATCACTGCGCTTTCGATTCATCAGATTGCTGTCCGGCTGTTCAACCTGGACACCAGCCGTCACAAGGCAGATAATGTTGCATCATGGACGCCTCCGAAAGAAAACGAATCGTGGTGGCGCTTTAATCCAGACGGGCCCCTGCCGACTCTTTTTTGTCATAGTTGGTATACCGACTATGAGGAATATCCTGAGGGTGTCGCCGATATGGTGGGATTTTGGGCCGAGAATCGCATTCTTGGCGGCGTGATTCTGTTCGACAGGGCTACGCCAGACTCTGATGCTGTGTACATCCATCCGGACTGGAAGGACGTGACGTACAGGATATGCAAACTTCTCGACGCTCAGAAGCAAGACCTACTCGACTTCCTCCAATCAGAGTCACCACAATGCGCCAGATCGCTACCTATCCGTCCTAATGGACTTAATCTTGTCCGTGTTGATCCAGAAGAATCCATTGCACTTACCAAGGTCTACCGTAATATCTGGGAACGGAAGCCGCCGCCAGAGTATGCTGGTGACGAACGGAGCGGCGACGTATATGACCCGCTCAACTTCCCTACCATGTCAGACCAGTATGACGCGCGATCACGTTGGAGGACGAGATTTGACAGATATTAATATTAAACAGCCGCCACAGGTGGTTCTGTGCTTATTGATAAGATCGTACTTTTAATATTGTGTGTAAATAAAACATAAATTAAATTAATAATTTTATTTTATTTTTAAATATGAAATAACTGAATAACATGAAAAAAGCATGTAAAGCTTCTGAATTTTATGAATTTAACGAAGGTGAGAGGCAGCATTATAATAATCAGGGCACTTCTTAAACTCGTTTTTATAATTAATTTAAGTCTTGCCCTATCCTAATGAGATTTTATCCGTAGTGTAACGCTCATAGCTCAGATTTTGGGGCGTCCATTTTGAGATCAGCCATACATTTCTTGTTCCTACGAGCACCGCCCGCAAAATTCTCAGTCATCTTGATATCCGACAGACCGTTGGCACCGAACGGAGAAATGCCTCCAGCACATAGCGTCTCACCAATCATGTTGTTGTAGATCTGGAAGTTCAAGCCATGGGCGGCAAGAGGTTGCTGGAATCCCCAGATGTACCTGTTCAGAGTGCACTGCGTTTGTTCCCGGAGCCAGCCAAACTCCTCGTCTGTGTCGACCCATGGCAGCGGGCCGGACTTGTTGGTCGTCTTCCAGGCGGGCTCGGGCGATGCCCAGAAGTTCAAGCCACCTCGGTCGAAGTAGACTCCGTGCACGTATGGGTCAACTGCGCGCTTTCCCAGAGTTTCGTTGACGGGCCTACCAATGCCAAGCTTGAAGTGATGTTGACCGTCAGCTTCACCCAGATACGCGAAATGGAAGTCATGCCCGTCAACTTTAGCTCCCAGGACCGCGACTTCTTGAGCAACGCCATCCCTCTTGGCAACCTTGGAATCGGTGTCTTTCCACATTCCTATATGCCTCGTCTCCGCACCGATCTTTTTCGATAATATCTGGAGGGCATCATCCGTGCGGCTCTCAAGATCTCGTGCGTTCTGTGGGCGTAGTGTCCAATTCGGCTTGAATAGATCTCGCCAGTTGGGCATACTCCAGCTGCTGGTTGCAATCTTTTCCCTGATCGAGCCCTGGATGATGGTAGACTGGTCTACTACAGTTGCCAGAGCTGCTGTAACGGCGATGCCGGCGAATACGCAACTCGACCTTGTCCCCTTGTCGTTTTCCCCATCGCTGTAGGCTTTGCAATCCTTAATCAGGGAAAAGAAGCTGTAAGCCGCCCCAACGCCGCCTACAATCTTGTAACCGACGTTGATTCTCCGGCGGGCATCCGCGCCCGCCCAGTCCCACCTTTTGTCTATTAGATCTGGGATCGAACGGAAGCATTAGCCATCGATACTTGCTAGTTTCTCGTCTCGTTTGTCTGCTCCTTACCTGTTGTGTTGGGATTGAGCTCCAAGTCAGTAGCCTTGAATCCCTCTCGGAAATCGGTACCGCGTGGAATTGTGGCCCCGAGCGCAAATTGTGCGTCGAGAGAAGACACAATTGCCAATATAGCCAAGAGCTGTTTCGGTACGAGAAGAAACGCTAGCATGGTGAAAGCTGGTCGTGAGTATCAGAATTGAGTTGCGGTAGGGATTTTAGATGTGAAGAAGATGTAATGAAGTGACGATGTATTTATGGATCTTGACAGGCCGGAGCAAACTTTTTATATCTCGCTGAAGCGTCAACTTTGAAAGAACTCTAGTCTTCTCGAGTCCTCAATGTAGGCAAACTTGATTATCGATCCGGGTCACCGTATAGCATGAAGCGCCATGGCACACAACCGGAGTCAACACTGGCGGTGGAAGGCTGAGTCCGTCTAATGCAGGTACGTGAAGATTTCTATTAATGGCTATGGCTCATATTTATTACTCACATGTAAAAGCCGTACTGAGCTCGTAAGCGACGTACACAATTCATCTTTGCCTTTTCCGATGCTCCCATGGTTAGACGACGTCTCGTATGCATTTGGGGTTCAAAGCGATGCACCGCCACAAGCCACTGTCAAATCTTACGCTCAGCACCGCATACGGTCCCCCCAGCAAGGCACCTACATTTAATTCGCGAGGTTCTTTTTTTTCCCCTTGCAAAGCATACGACATGTGCATTAGCTGAGGCTCAAAAAGTCGTATGGGGGCATCTAAATATTACCAGACTGGCACTGCCACCAACGAAATGTGCTCCTCTCCTGTGATTGAATGGTTTCTAACAGGTAAATATGATATATCATGTTGGTCCGATGGAAACTATATAAAAGATTGAGGCCGCCATTTATTCAAAGCGTGCTCCTCAGGATTGGTGGCTCCACAGCATACTCGAGTCTTCATATAGTCACAACCATCTATTTATTCTCGAAAACTTCTTCAAAGACATTATGCTCCAACGTTTAGCTGCGGTGATCGCTCTGTGCGCGGCAGGCTCTCAGGCCTGGCAAGGTACGTGGATTAGTGCCGCTAACGACTTGCAAAGCTTTTATGGATTCTCTACTTACAGGTAATGTAGTGGCAACGTATGAACGTGCCCTCCAGGGAGGCTGCACGCCATCGACCGATTCGAAAATCCGTCTACTGTCTGGCACCTCTGGCGAGTGCGTGACTCTGGGAACGGACAAAGGAGTCAAAAACTGCGATCAATATAGGTGGGACGGCACGAGGGCCATCGAAGACGGAGGTGGCTGTCAGGGCAAGGACAGCTTCTACCCTTACGCTGCAGGTTATCTGGATGACGACAATGTGGGCCTCAAATGCGAATTTTTCAGTCAAGCTGAGTGTGGAGGAAGTGCACTCGCCTTTAAGCCAATTCGCGAGCAGTGTGCTGATGATGATGCCCTATATGCGGGGGTCAATGGTGACACACAATTGCACTCTTTCAAATGTGTGAGTCATTCATTACTACACGCACGCCCATGACCGTTTCACTGACGAGCACCACAGAAAAAGCCGTGAGGCTTCATCATTTTGCAAAGCATACATGCATTTTGAGTGGTATTTGCTGCACTGTTTGACCGCTGTGAGATTGAAAGAGCTCGTACAGAAAGTACTTGATCTCGGATCAAGCCAAGACAGCGCAGCTTGACCCTTAGGGCAAGACTTGAATACTAGCACTTGATTGAATCACAATATCCTATATCCAGTGTAATCTGATGTGACCTCCGTTGCCTAGCAGCTCTTTAAGCATAGGCGGACAATACCGCCCAGCACAAAGTACCTAATAAAGTTTCTTATAATTAATCTAAGTAGGATAACGTAATCCTAACCTCCTGAATTCTGGAATTATTTCGAGAAACGTTGAAATGCTCTTGGACTTGAAGTCAAGTATCATTCCTAGCGTGAGGCTTAGATCGGAAAGATAGCAGCACATATCGACCATCAGAACCCTCACGATCCTTTCCATCGAGATAACCATGGGACAGCTCTCTTCTTGCAGTTATGGACCATCCTGTGACCGTATTCAATACGCTGATTCACGCTGGGCCATCTAGGAGCATTGCACAGTCCTGACGCCACACCCAACCTTTCGGACTATTTGGGTCGTCGTAACTTCTCACAAGCCAATACATTCCGTCTTCGGCATATACATTAAACAGCTGAAGTTGTATTAGGCCGGCTTAAACAAGAGAACTTGAAAGTGCGAGAAACTTACCGATTGATAGTCGCAAGAGATAAATGGAAATCCCCGACGGGTCCCCGACAGTTTTGATTGCGCTCGGAGGGAAGTTCCAAGAAAAAGTGACGTAGAAGTATCAATCGGGCTCTCCGGAATAGCAATCGCATGTGCCAGGCTCCCCCACCTCACATTGCCTATAAGCTGATCCGATTCTTCTGACATGTACGTTGTAGCTGGTATGGGTAGTTTAACCAAAATTACACGGCCCGGCTTACTGAGCCATGGGACTTTCTTACGTGACCTCGGGGAAACACGCCTATCATCGTCTGGGTTCTTCCGAGGGTTTATGTAGTGCGGCGTTTCCGAGAACACGTTTTGTCCCCGGATAGGTTGGCTGGCGTGACTTTCCTCTCCCTGGTAGCTTTCAGCGAGTCTAAACGTCGTTGAGCCTTCGCCAAGGCCGTGGAACCGATTGATAGAAGGTTTTGGGAAGCCTATGATCTTGTCTGTCCTCAAAGATGGTGGCAGTAATTTATCTTGTCCAACCCCATACTTCGGACAGGCCTCTCCAGATGTGACGGTGGCGCCCTGTTGCTTTTGCTCGACCCTGGTGGCGGCCAGTGTATTTCTGATCGATGACCCAGGAGCAGAAGAGAAAATAAAAACTTCGTCGGAAACCAACGATGGGAATTGGGTCTTGCTAGCGATGTGATTGTTGCACGGCTTCACTCTGTTGATGAGAGGCTTCTCAAATCTGTATCGCTCTGTTGGCGGCAAGGAGACGATACTGGGACTTCCACTCATGGTTGGAGATGATGTAATGTCTGTATCTGAGAAATCACCTTCTGAGCCCAGGGTCGTGGAGGATTGATCTGAACCAAGATTACCCGTCAAGCGTTCCAGTAGGTTTTTACCTGGCTGGAATTAGCCAACATCGGAACCCGCATTAGTACTTGTCGGGTTCTGGATTTCCTGAACATGCTGCTGGTCCGGATTGGCTCGCGCTTCTTCGATAGGCACTGCCTTAGCCATATCGACGGAGAAATCTGTTTGTGTCGCGACTGATCGTACTTGAACTTTTGCTGCAGAATGCGACATCTTTCCCACGAGTGCCTCAATTTGGTCGAGCAGAGTTTTGTTTTGAGCCATGAGGAGAGATGCCATGTTGTCGGTGCTATCTTCATGAGCTTTGTCACCAGCTTTAGCGTTTTCCTCCGCAACGGTATCATCAGCCTGTGAATTTGCGAGGATTACTCCACCAAGCTCTCGGATCTCAACGTCGTCAGGTAATGCCGAGGATTTCAGCTGGCTGCATAGTCTCCACGAGTCGATATGCTGGGAGATCCAGGGCTGCAGTACGCGCATAGCCCAGGTATGCAGGTTCTCCAAGATGGCCTCTAGTTCGATCAGATGTATAATCTTAGTCATATCTCCGACCCAAATGCAGACCATACTCTTGATTGGAAGGTGAGCGATCTGGTCCAGAACTTCGAACAGTAAAGGTGGTACTCACATATTTGTCTTCGCTATCATCATAGAACGCAGTCCAGATACGGACTTCTGATCTGACCGTCGTCATCACAGTGGCTGGTTGTACTTCTTTGTGAGTCGAATACTTCACAAGATTTCGAAACATCATCAGCACAGCTACTGCGGCATTTGCTGCTTGACAGTAGCATTCCATAGCCTTCCCAAAGCCCTGCTTCTGATGTTCCACAACGAACCACGGATAGCATATGCAATCAGATGCGACAATGGCATCACGTCTCTTATCTCGAAATGTGTCAGTGACGCTTGATCGAAGCCCATTACTGGCTAGTTTCTGGAGCGTGGCGCGTGAGAAATTCTCGACATTCCTCTCTCTAGGCCAATTGTCCCAACGCCACCCGGCGGTTTTGTTCGAGGGCCTTCCACTAGTCGGTGGAAAGTCATATATGTGAAAGTATGCGACCCAGTCCGGGTGAGGCTCCGTTAGTCCCTGTTGGCCATGTTCACGGCGGAACTCGCCCGATGCACTGAAGAGTGTCCAATGGCGCTTCTTGGCGCTATATATTCCTGTTAGTCGATTTGATCCTCTTTAGAGTAGTTATAAATCGTCTTACTGCCCAAACTGATCGAAGTAAAACTTCGCACGGGATTCTCTGGAAAGCATAAGCTTGTGACGCGGCAGGCCAACATGAGCATTACCTCCGTCTGTCCTCGTCAGTGATCTGCATATCACCAAGCAATCTAGCAAAGAAAGTGTCATCAAAGAAGGCCTCCCACTCTGCCTCTCTATCCCAGCCATGACGGAGTGCTAATGCCCTCCTTGTTCGCCAGTTGTAGTCATGAATAGCGTCTATAATTCGCTTCCGTTCGGGCTCCTCGGCGTGGGGTTCAGCGAGCAGAGAGTGGAGTCTCGTGCGATCTTCGAAATCTTCAACTTCATAAAAGCCTAACCGATCGGATATAGTACAATCAAAATCAAGCAAGACGCTTCGGAGCGCATCAGCATGAGTGTGTAGGCAATCAAATCGGCCAACATCCTCGAAGAAATAGATGCGATTTGCCTCTAATTTTTGTCGATCCATCATACACTTATTCAGGTTAAAAAAATGAGGGTGTGTAGATGGGAATGTTTAGGAACATCGAAAAAATAATTATTTAGGACGTGTATTGTAGGTTACTGTCTGATGTTTTAGAAACGTTCGATGTCAGTTCCAACAGGAGCTTCATTGGATGAACTGTCTCACTGTTGCAGCCGTGGCGCTTCAGAATCCGTGCAGGGCAGTATGGCTGTTCGGCACCCTGCCAATCACAGTCAGCATTAAGCGCCCACTCGATACGCAACGGCCAAGGTCGGGCCGAGCCCCATGCAAACCCGGCCCGTCGGCTGTGAATATCTAAGTGACAATACGTGCTATACTCAAGGAACTCGAGTATGTGAAGGGCCCACTTCAGAACAATAAGTATTCTTCAATTCTGCAAGACCCGCTCTCAAAGGCAGTCGTCAGCTCTACCACGTGGAAGAATTGATAGCTAAAGTTAGCACAGCGATAAAAAGGCGAGATGGCTCATAAAGAATGAGCAAAAATGAAAATAAAAAACATACAACACCGGGTATTCGCTGGTGGTCACCCACCCAACTACTAATCCGGCGGTTACCAGTTTATCTATGGGAGAGCGGACGGGATCCCGAGTTCTCTAGTACCTATGGTCGTATGTGATAAAGCAGTGTCGTAACCAGGTTTATGTTAGAGTCACCGTGGGTACCATCACATGCATCACAGAATCGGCGGACCACCCAATAACACTGTGAGCGGAGTACTCTGTACGTTAGCTGCCTCCTTGCCGAGACGCCGGCGGACCGGACAGCTTTACCTGATCTACCTTCTCACAAAACGTATCATTGAGTTATGATAGCCTCGTTTAACTGCCCTGGGGTGGATATGACCAATTGATAGACTCGCCCTGCTCTCGCCAAGTCCTTCTCGAAGTATGAACTCCGAGTTATGCGGCAATCGTTGCGGGCTGCTTGATTATCTTGACCGAGTCCCATGTAAGATCAGGAGTGAGTAACGACGATTCCGGTGCTCATTGACATGCCGCCATTATCTCGCAGTCGAAAAGCAGGACGATTTCTTGTTTAGAAAAAAAAGCATAGCATGCCGAGGTACCGGTGAAGGTCATACTCCCGCAAAATCTCAAAGAAGTATCCCAGTGAGGCAGAGGGCGCCAAACAACGAGACCTGAGGCTGTCGGTGTATACGAGGTCATTAGCGAAGTCATTCTGGCAGGTCTGCCACTGACCTCTTTGTGCGGGGACTTGCCCGGATGCTCGCCTCGAAGCTCTCGAAAGATATTCCCCTTGTGCACCAGACATCCGCCACACAGGCTCGCATCCAGGTCTCAGAGAAGGAACAAAGGAACGGTTCATCGAACATCAGCTTGGTCTTACCTCTATAAGCCCTTAGAGCCCCCTGCCCCGGTCACACCTCATTGGTTTAGACTTACTCATACCCAGCACCTCCTTTTCGGCTTCAAATCTCTCACCAAGGCCACGACAACTAGACTTCTCGAAGTCTGCCCGAAGAGGGCGCATCGAGGCGTAGTATACGGAAATAGCCGGCGCTCAACAAGACAAGAGATAACCTAGGACCCGACACTTCGTCGCCAGACTGGGACGCCAGTGCCGGATGGTGTGCTTCGGATGGCACCATGGACAAACAAGTACCTGTCGTGTGTCTGTGCAGTATCTGCCGGGCTCGAGATGGACAAAGTGGCGAAAGGATACCTTAGGCGCGGCTTGTATCCGAGGGCTTCAAAGCTGGCTCCAGGGGATAGAGGCACAGTTTTGGTGATATCTTTCTACTAGTAAAGTGGGACTAACATACTCTTTTAGGCAGCACTGAATGATGGCATCAGTATATAGAACTAGAGACATTCCATGATTAGTGTATAACACGATATGGTGATAGATTAACAGTTGAAACCCATCTATCCAAGGGAGTTAAGATTCATTCAAGAGATCCTGCGGGCATTCATGGATCTGGGGCCACAACTGGAGAGCCCCACCCAAGCAGTATACTTAAATGGGGTGAGAGAACCTCAGAAGCGATACTGTTCCTCGACTGTTGCATCAATATATCAGATCAATATATCAGAAATAGTTGCAAGCGCTGAGACTTAGTTACCCGCACTGTGTCAAAGGGCTGGCTGGGGAGCAATGCGAGCTCTGCAACACCTAGTGGACTTCAGAAAGGCAAAGAAAGCGAGGGGCGTGTTGCAAGCGCGTGCACAGTGAATGACTCGACGAACGTCAGGTCCAACTTGAGCTTCACCTGCATGAGCTTTCCTGCAGGTGTGGTGGAGGAACTGTTGAGTGTCACCCACCAAGAGCCGCCGCATCTTGGCGCCGGGGACGTCGTGTTGGTTGTGGCCACAGCAAACACGCAAAGCGAAGTTGAACGGACGAACTTATATTTTCTTACTTCTGGTCGGGAGCATCATCGGGAGCTAAATATGGCATAGCGGTCCTGTATAATCCGGGGTTAGACGCTGAGATCCCTGCTGACGTGCCGGGGGTGCTCTGGCGAATGGGCCTTTGAGGCTGAGTCGGACTGAGACCTGGAGTCCTCGATCCTTTCCCGTGAGAGTGGTCGAAGAAGACGGCCTGGCACACTGCCGTCGGCGCCTAGCCGGCTTACTTGGTTGAGCCAGGTTTGAGTGGACGGGAGCAAGGATCCTCAAACTCATCCGCGCTTACTATCTATCCATTTGATATGAAATGGCTGTGCGATATCACGTATTTTGCTATTTGATGGACTGGTGCATACTTCGCTAAGAGTAATCCATGCAGGGACGTGCTAGACGGGACTGTGCATGCGTGGGCATTTTAATCTACAACGGCGTGGCTGTCGAAACGGTATTGTCTGGTGTTGCGAATGCCATATGGGTCAGAGCAGTGGCAGTGTTCGCTGCTTGGCCAACTGATAGCGAACGTATGTTTCTAGCCACATAGGTAGATAGTGAGTGTATATTTCTGGTCAGTCATGCTCGTGAGGTCATATTGTATGCAAGCTAGGCATAGATAGGCGCGTGGTCGATCTATCTCGATTCTGCACTTGTTCCCGGTAAAAGCGACCGATCAGGAATCAAGACCAAAAATCTGTTGGGGATGTAGACAGACGCGCGTGACACTTGGAGGTCGAGTGGCTTGGTGAGGGGCTCCGAGGAGATGAGGGGCAGAAAGCAGACCGCGTTTCTTACGCAGCCTTCGATCGTTCTCGAGCATGGCGCCGTGCTCCGTGGATCGCGCACTTGGTAGCTGGACTAGACCCCGATGGGCAGACACGAATGGTCAAAGATGGGGACACGGAAATGCTGCCGCAGCAAAGTCGGCCCATCTCCTGTAGGTTGGAAAACTTCCCGACGCGGCAGACGACAATTAGTTGTGGCCAGTCAGCGAGTCAAGAGGCTCAAGACGGGACCCCCAAGTGGAGTAAGAATCGTGAGCTTAGATCCTGGAGAGCTTAGTTCAAGGGGTCAGGGACGAGAAAAACTCAGAGCACGGCCAGCCAGGAGATGCCTAGGCTCAAGCCCATCTACAGTGGAGAGGGTGCAAAGGACGGCGGTCGTTCTGTTTCTGGGTGAAGCTGCGACAAGAATTGCGCGCTGGGTTCTATCGTCGGCGTTCTGATGGAGTTGAGGTGGTGGAAAGAAACAGTGTGTGCAGCAGGGTCTGCCGGCGTCGTTTCGTGATGGCGCATCAGGTTTGTTATAGCAGCTCTCAGCTCTGGACGCGGGCAAAGGTTGATAAGAGGATCCCGCCGAACAGCATGCGCCGGAACAGATGGAAGCGAGTGGGATGGGCCACATTACGCGCAACGAGCCAACCTTGCTTTGCGGTCGGCGCTCGTGCTTTCTGAGTGGACGGGCTGGGTCATCTGTGCCTTGGGCCGAGCGCATCGACGGGCGTCGGTACGAGAGGACACGCAGGAGGCGAGACGCAGGCGAAAGTCTGCGAGAAAATCATGACTACGGTACTACCACAGCAAAGGAGCAAGCAGTGATCACTCGGGACCCGCGAAGCATCTCCAAGCCCGGCTGGTGTGGGCAGCCCCCGTCATCGTGAGATTACCATGGCGGTAACTTTGTAGCAGATCCGGCTGTGTTGGTGTTTGGGTACCAAATATTAAATTGTCTTGTTGTCTTGTAGGGCAGCAGTGGGGGCGGCAGGGTGTTTACATAGTATGGCATCGAGCTCAATCCAATGTCCAGGGGGGGTTTTATTTTGAGCTTGCTCGCCGCGTCGACTACGATGCCGGTATTTCGAGAAGCTGGAGGCAGTTGGAGAGCAGAGCGCCGAGCGCCGAGCCAGCGAGCCAGGGTGCAGCGCCGCCCACTCACCTAGGTACTAGGTGCTGTCTGTGGTCTGTGGCCTGTGGCTAGCGAGCAGCCTGGGAGCTGGGCCCGGTGGGTAGCGTAGCACCTCTAGACTCTAGTCGTTGCACTGCCCCAATTGGGCCAATCGGCGTGTTGAAACGCTCCCTGAGGCGTGCCCCCCCCCCCCCCCCCCCCCCCCCCTACCTGGCAGACCTGGCCGACCTGGCATACCAGACTGGAAAGCAGCTGGAGGGCCAGTCAGATCCACGCCCGGCGGGTGCTGGGGCAGTCCTGGGGCGTGGCCGTCCAGTGCTGCGGGTGCTGTGGGTGACAGGCCAAGGTCCCGTCCAGCCAGCCAGCCAGCATGGAAAAGCCCAAGGCAGGCAGAGGGGAGCAGGGGGGGGAGCCGTGGTCGACCTGCGCAGCGCGAGAGCGTCGACGGCCCAGGGCCAAGACGGGACCCGACAATTTTCTGACGTCTCCATCCCAAAACCCATCCTGACCCTTTTCCCTCCTCCCCCAAAGTCAGACCCCGCGAACGACTTCCAAAGGCGACTCGACCATCAATCATTCCCCGTGACGACGACCGATCTCTGCATCTGTCCTTTGGCTGTGGTTTGCACCCGCGCATACGTTTCACCCCTGAGACTGATTCCCAGTCCCACGAGCGACGACTGCCCATTGTGTGTGGCCCTGACGACGGCTCCTGCCCTCTTGAAACCCCCCGGGAAACACGAGGCCCTCCTCCACTAGAGCGAGCGAGAGAGAGAGAGAGCGTAGAGAGACAGTAGAAAGCGAGCGAGCGACAGTGCGCGTCAACAACACAACCACCGCATCTCCCACTCCCACTCCCACTCGACGACGAACCCCGAGATTCATTCTCCGGAATTCCCGCGACCGCACGCACGCACTCGTCGCCTGGGCAATCCCGCGACTTCATTTTATCCATACCATCCGACGCCATCTTGCTAACGGGGCCCCCATCGGCGATCATCGAGTCCGACAACTCGACTGTTTTATCACGGTACGCTTTTTTTGTCATCATTCGACGACTCCGGCTACTGCTGCCCACGCATCTCTCCCAAATTCATCACCGCATCCCCTGCCTCTGCACTCGGCATTCACTGCTCTTTTTTTTTTTCTCCTTCTTGCTCCTTCTTCGCATTGCCATTGACACCAAGTTTTCGTCAAGGCTACCCGACGCCAAAAAACCCCCAGGTGACGAAAAATTTCATCCGTGACATTTGGCCTCGACCCTTCTTCGACTCGACCACCGACGTCGTCACCAGTCCTGCGCAGCCCTCGCGTCGCGCACCGAGCTTCTTTCGAGAGCTCTACTACCGCTGAGATCGCTTCATCGTGAGTTTCTTGCCCCCTGCAGACACTGCTCCTGGCTCTACTTCTTTATCGTCCCCCCTCATGGACCTAGGCAAAGCATGGGTAGTGCCCGTCGCGTAAAAATAAAAAAATAAAAAACGCCACGCATCCATCCAGGACATGCGTCGCGGTCAGCGCAATCTCTGACACGGGGTTTACACACATGTACACAGCTGCAAGCATTTACTGACATATCCTCTCCAAGTTTAAGAAGTGCATCGAACTCTGGATTGGGCTTCCTCGTAGATCCCACGCGGCGACCTATTCCCTTCCCCCTTTCCCCCCTCTTCCCTGTTCTGACCAGCAAGTTGCACCCTTTCGAAGGCTGTCTTTCTGGCAGGTGTGGAATTCACGATGGCAGACCAACATGATGTTGATCTGGACTCCATCATCGACCGTCTGTTGGAGGTTCGCGGCAGCCGACCTGGCAAGCAGGTCCAGCTCTTGGAGACCGAGATAAGATACTTGTGCACAAAGGCTAGAGAGATCTTCATCAGCCAGCCCATCCTGCTTGAGCTGGAGGCTCCTATTAAGGTAAGAAACCCCCCTCTTGGTGGCGCTGCGTTCGAGCAGCAAGCTCCAGGCCGCACACGATGAGAGAGGGAGAGAGAAGCTGACATACCTCCCTACCAGATCTGCGGCGATATCCATGGCCAATACTATGACCTTCTACGACTGTTCGAGTACGGCGGTTTCCCGCCCGAGGCCAACTACCTCTTCCTGGGCGACTACGTAGATCGTGGCAAGCAATCCCTCGAGACCATCTGTCTCCTGCTGGCGTACAAGATCAAGTACCCCGAGAACTTCTTCGTCCTGCGTGGCAACCACGAGTGCGCGTCTATCAACCGAATCTACGGTTTCTACGATGAGTGCAAGCGCCGCTACAACATCAAGCTCTGGAAGACATTTACGGACTGCTTCAACTGCCTGCCCATTGCTGCCATCATCGACGAGAAGATCTTCACCATGCACGGTGGTCTCAGCCCGGACCTGAACTCGATGGAGCAGATCCGTCGTGTCATGCGTCCCACTGATGTAAGTCATCTCATCCTGCTCTTGTTCCCAGCTGGTCTTGGCGCGCATATATTTCCTATCAAATGTTGGCTGAACTTGAAACTGACTTCGGGTCCCCCTCCATGTAGATTCCCGACTGCGGTCTTCTTTGCGACCTGCTGTGGTCCGATCCGGACAAGGACATCACCGGGTGGTCCGAGAACGACCGTGGTGTGTCCTTCACTTTCGGTCCGGATGTCGTGTCGCGGTTCTTGCAAAAGCACGACATGGACCTCATCTGCCGTGCCCATCAAGTAGTCGAGGATGGCTACGAGTTCTTCTCCAAGCGCCAACTCGTGACTCTGTTCAGCGCACCCAACTACTGTGGAGAGTTTGACAACGCAGGAGCAATGATGAGCGTCGACGAGAGTCTGCTGTGCTCGTTCCAGGTACGTTTCTTCCCAGTCGTATATTGGATATCCACAGTAGTGTGCTAACTTGCTTCCCTCTAGATCCTCAAGCCAGCTGAGAAGAAACAAAAGTACGTCCATGGCGGCCTCGGAGGCAGCGGTTTCGCAACTCCCAGAAAGCAATCCAAATCCTGAAAGTGAGAATTCATACGAACTTCCATTCGTCTATCTAGGTTCGGTCGTCGATAAACTATTACCCCGAATGCCACCCGCCGCTGCTCCTCGCACACCCTCACCCGAGTACTCGACGACGGGACGTCATGCCCGCCAGGTCTCGCGACGTTCGAAATACGGTTCCTCCGGACGTGGATCACGCGACCATGGCCGCCGCTGTTCGAGTACTAATTCCCAACGACAATTATTCCTCTCGCATCCCTTTCACGACACACGCCGTCAATGATGAACGACGCTGACGGCCGAGTTGATGATGGAACGTGGCCTCACGCGGAAAGAAGTAAAATCAGGTTTTTCATATTGGAATGGTTCATGATGAAGTGTCTCGGTGTTCACGACGCTTGCATGTGTGGACGTAGAGACCGACGAGGGCAGGTCTAGACAGTTAATCTTGTTTTCCCCGAACGGGTTTCCCTCTCTTGCGAATCTCCATACCCGTGTTGCCCAGGTGCCATGACCAGTACGCAACATGCTGCATAGTCCATCTCGTTGGCACACACTGTCTGCCTCAGAAACCGCCGACACTCGCCCAGGACTCGGCGCGTGATCCTCGAAGTCCACTGTTTAGTGTTTGTCCTAACGGTGTTGCAAGATTCCAGATTTTTCACTTATACGCCACGCGAGAGTATAGTAGCCACGTTTGATTTATGGGACCATCCGCTCTTTAGAGTTCGAACGAGATACCACGCGCTGTTACTGGCGGATAGCTCACCTAACTCTATAAAAAGGAACTGGCCCGTTCTTTTTCCGAGTCATGGGCTGGCGAGGGCTGCCGACCCCTTTCCCGGCGGGTACCTGACCACCTGTCCATGGTTATCGCTGCGGGCGGCGAGCCTTGTGCCTGGCCTGGCCTTCCTGACGTCCCCCCTGACGTTATGCCCTCGTTGGTTCGCTGGGGGGCATGCATGTGAGATAGGACGGACGGAGGGACGGACGGAAGTTATGACGCACATGTGTTACGACACGGGACTCATCTCGGAGGGGCCCAGGCAAAGCGTAATTTATTCTGGCGCGCAAAGGCACGAGTGATGCCATACTTGACTAACTAGGACCCGTCTTCGATGGCGTAGGTGTGAAGTTATTCCCAGTATTCCCGGGCCCGTCTGCCGGTGCTGCTGCTGGTGTACCTCAGCGACAGGTCGGTGAAGGTTGCTGATCCGGACAGGTTTCTTGGTCAGTGATCTAGACGCCTTATATGGGGCGTTTGCTGGAGGTGATATGGTGCTGTTGTTGCTATGGTATGCATAACCTTTCAGTTGGACTATCCAGGCCCCGGACTGCCTTGTCTGTCCTGTTGTGTCTTTCGTCAGCAATACAAGGCGGGCATCACTCAGAGGAAAGAGGAACAGGTCTTGATGAAAGCCCTTCAACATCTCGCCCGTTTTGAAGTGAGCTTGGGATTCACTCTTCCGCAACCCTTGATTCGATTTTCCATGTTTCTATCATGGCCCGCTTTGGTGGCCGGAACAATAAGACGGTGTGCGCGCCACTGGTGAGATGTAGAGAGGATATACAACGTCTATACCTTCAACTGCAAGGAAATACTATACTGAGCCGGGCCGACCCCAGAGTGTCTCTTCTGAAGAGTAGCTCTGGCTAGTATGTACTGATCCGCCCATTTCCTTATACCAGCCCGATACTGTTACCATGCTTGAGGGCGCCGTACTGTAAGGAGATACTGGAGCTTCTTTATCAGTGACTGTCCTGACCACGCTCCATGCACACACGCTCCTGTCGGAGGCTACCTAATCCAGCTAACTGGCTGATACCGTCGTGGAATCTGCATCCACCCGCCCGCCCGCCTGAAGTCAACTCCTCTCACGGCCGCAGCGGACGGTTATAGCGTCCTGCCCCGGGTCAAACCCATCATCACTGACAGGACGCCTCAGGGCTCTCCCCGCAACCGCTATATCCTGTGTTCTCACTGACAGTCCTCGCATGCCTCCCGCGCCTCGGCCTTGGCTTCGGCCTTCCGCGCGACCGCCTCCTCGACCTTGGCCCCGATGTCCTGGCCGGCGTGCGGCGGCTGGCCCCTCCAGGACCGGGAATCCGGGATGCCGTCGCCGCCGCCGTCGGCCGGGATCATGGGGAGGGACTGGCCCTTGCGGAGGGGGTCGGTGTTCTGAGCCTCCTGCGACTGACCCGGGGGCGGCGCATCACCTGTCGCCGTCTTCTTCATCTCCCGCTCGCCTCTGTCGGCCTTGGCCCCCGCCTCCGCGGCCGCCTTGCCGTGGTCGCGGTCCACGTGGCCCAGGTCGCGGCCCGGCTCGATGACGTCGCGCACGCGGCGCTTGAGCTCCTTGGTCTCGGGGAAGCCGCCGTCGACCTTGCGGTCCCAGAGGGTGCGCTGCTGGATGCTCGGCGCCGGGTTCGAGGCCGAGGGAGAAGCAACAGCGGCGTGCTCGATGGTGACGGTGAAGGTGCCGCCCGTGCTCGGCTGCAGGGCGACCTCGCCCAGCGACGTCGAGAAGGTCGAGAGCAGCTCTTGGGCGTACTGTTGGGGGAGATTCGTGTCAGCACGAAGGGTTCTGGGCGATCAGACAGGCAGGTGAAGAGAGAGCGAAGAGAGAGTTGAGAGGGGTTCTGTGGCAAGAGTATTGGATGGTATAAGCCAGGAGCGCCAAGCGTATACCCGAGTAGATACTGGCGGGCCCAGGGGATGTTCTATACCACATGCGCCGTAGCCTTTGGAGAGATGGCAAACCGGGGTGGGATCAAGGACGCCGTTCATCTGTCATTCCTCTTCCTCTTCCCTCTCTTGACACCATACATCAGAAAGCAACTCACATATGCAGCCCGCAGCATCCACTTACACTGCGTGCAGAAGCGGATGGTGATGCGCGGGAGAGGGAACGGCGCCGCCGTGGGGACGGACTCGTCCTGCTTGTGCGACGCGGAGGTGGACTCGGCCATGGTTCAAGCAGCCCTTACCGAGTCTTGGTGTTCTTTTTTCTGATTTTGCAAGGCTGCCTCTCTGTCCCTTCTGTCTTGTATATCTTCCCCATGCGTGCTGTGCGCGCGCGTATCGGAACGGAGGGCCTGATTGGTGTCTCACTTTTCCGACCTGTTGCCACTCGTGCTGCCACTTGCTGGAGTACCACACCACCCATGGAAAGGACCCCGCTGACGTTGGGTGACGTCGATCGCGCGGCCAGGCCCTAGGCACCTCCCCTAGGCCCGGGTCCCTTTCGCTAGGGGGGGCCCTAGCTCCCTGGCCATTTGGAGCTTAGGCAGGGTAGGGTCCAGATAGGTAGGTGCGTCGGAGCTCTAGCTAGAGTGAAAGCTCTCTCCGACACAGGGGGGTTAGGGTACGGTGTTTTGAGTATCCAATAGGGCCCAGCTGTGTGCCCATTGGTTGAGAACATTCGTGACTTGGTAGCTTTGAGGGGAATTCTCGTCCAAACGGGCGGTAGGGCCTGGCCTGAGATGCTGCGAAAGCAAAGGCGGGCAAAGGGCAATATGTTGCGGTTGGGAGGACCTAGTTACATCCTGCAGTTTGCCCTGGCTGGCAGGACTGTCGTGCGCGAGATAGGGGAGAAGAGGAATCTGTGGGATGCTATGAGCCCTCGTCAGACACTGGCAGTTGGCGATTCTCTGGGCTTGGGATGTATATAGGTGATTGACAGCATAATGTACCTCTGCGCAGTGTCTATCTACAGCAGCCTGTTGCTCTCGCACCTATGGACCTCCATTGAAAGACACGGGAAACAAAGTTTGTACATTGACGAAGAGCGCAACCACCACCACCACCACCACCACCACGATTACCACGTGTCTGCCACTGTCTGTGGGTTGGAAAGACAGCACTAGCTGCAAAACTGGCAGGTTGGCAGAAACAGTCTCCTTCACCGCATCCCCCCGACGTGCCCCTCTCGCACGGATGCAGATGCGGATCTGCGCATGGGGATACATGCAGTCGTTATCGAATGTAGGTACGTACGGCCAGCAGCAGCAGCAAAGGGGAGCAGGGCAGCTTATCTTCCGCTTTCTTTCCAACTTGGGACTCCCATCTTGTGAACACCTTTTAGTAGGGTGGTGAGCGGCGAGGTAGGCGGGCGTGGGCTTTTGGCGATGGCGAGACTCATTCAAGATATGTTGTTATCGAATTGGATCTATTTTCTCCCTTGCAGATGATGGTAGAAAAGACTGCCTGGCGACAGGTCAAGCAAGAGGCATGCGTGAGCGTTATTTCACACCGTCGTCAAGTGATTCAATAATAAGGGGCAAAGTACAGGCGCAAAGAAGAATTATTACATGCTGAAGAGCTTCCTCCCCAAACGACCTGTGTCCCTGTCCGCACTGCCATGGCATGCATTCGTATCATGCCGGCCCAGGAGACAACCCGTACCGTACCAAAAAAAAAGACACAAAAATATAAAAAGAGAAAATCTGATGAGATATGCCATCAATTATCGTCAACGAGCCGACTCAGCCGCACCTCTTGGTCGTTCTCCTCTCCTCTCCTCTCCATCCGGGGGTATTGTACGTTGCCGTGATTGTCGGCTTTTATAATCCGTATAGCGAAGTTCCTTTTGATAGCGCTCAAACACAAGCTGGGGGGGCCAGGAGATGTTTATGTAGGCACATATCCCACCGTCGAATGCAGATGGGCCTCCTTGGCTGCTTTCATAACGACGTGAAACTTGCAGAGAGCGGTGTTGGCGCCGCTCTCACTCTCTCAACTGGGCCGATGCAAGCTAATTGGCATGGCTCTACATGACCAGACAGCAACCACCGCTCTGTTGAGGTGCGTAAGGGTCCTCTCCCCTCGGGACAGCCCCCCATACGGACGGGACCATGTAATCTCTCGTGCTGTTGCAGTAGGCGATGATGCTACGTTACGGGTCAGCCTTCTGCCCTCCCCACCCTTTCCAGATGCACACTTGGGAGCAACCTACCTCTTGGATGCCTGGGAGACGGGGATTCTTTCCCTCTCGAGGTCCTCGCGCAGGCGGTTGTTGAGCTCCGTCAGGCGTCGCAGCTTGAGGTCGGCCATGGACTGCTTGTTCTTCTTGATCTGCGACGGGTCGCCGACATCGCGCGAGGTGTACTGAGGCATGGTGGCGGAGATGGTGGACGACGACACCGAGAGGCTTCGATCTCTGTTTCGGGGAGGGTTGTTGCGGCCGGAGGCGGGCAGAGAGCTTGGGCCAGCAGCCGTGGCAGAGTCGGCTCCTCTGGTGATCTGGTTCTGTGGTGAAGACATGCTCTGGTCAGTGCATCCCATCCATACCATGCATGCGGTTGGTGATTCAGAAAAAAGAGGTCAAAACATGGTCGCGTGGTCGTGTCTGGGGAGTCGCATCGGGGCGAAAAGCAATCCGAGGGTTTGTCGTCTTTCCCCCCGTCGGCCTATTTTGTGGGTGCAACCGAGGCGACGGCAGCAGTATCGCGCACCCAGGGCCGGCGGGCAGCGGACGGCCCAGGCGAAGCAAACCGCAGAAAGGTCGTGTCTGGAAACACGAGAAATGGCGGTTGGACCAGACCCAGACTCAATCCGTGGGCCGCGGGCCGTCTCTGGGTTCGTATCGCAGGGGGGAAAGGAGAGTGACGCGGTAGCAGGTTGAGTGTGGTGGTGGCAGCAAGCCGCAGTAGGGGGAGCAAAGAACAAGGACGGGGACGGGATTGTGGATGGACTCTGGACCCAAGACCTTGGGGGAGAACTGGAGGTGGACTTACGGTTCGAGGTGACGATCACGCAGGAAAATAAGCCAGCGAAGCCTGGAGGGATGCGACAACGAGGGCGCCGGCGATGCGGTGCGTGTCTCTCTTTAGGATATCTCGTCGAAGAAAAAGTAAGCAGTGGTCGACTGGAGGGAGAGGGAGGAGGCGACGGGACGGCTGCAGGCAGTCCGCACGTGCAGTATCTCAAGCCAATTGAAGCACCTCAGCCAACTCTCTGGCACGATAGAATCGTTTGTGCGGCCTTGCTTATGGAGCATGTCTTGGACAATAGTTCTACAGCTTTTATGGGGTCAAGGT